AATTTAAATCATATTTAATTGATTTATTAAGCTAATAATATTGTTAGTATGAATTTGAAATAGATGTTATTAATGAAAACAAGTAATAATAAGTAATAAATAATAATATTGATTTTTAATCGTACCTGTTTTGTCAGCGTACGCCCGATAAGACGCGTACCTATGCGGTAGAATGTAAATAAAATATATTATGTTATTTGACCACTGCACAGTGCCGAAGATGGAACGGAGAAAAAAATGCAATTGTTTTAAACGTCCAGTCGTCCAGTGACAATACGAATAGACTACTACTTTAATTTGTGTTTGATTAAAAAAAAAACCGCATGAAATTAATCGTACATTAGCACAACAAGGTTTTTTTTTTTATTTCAAGTTTAATTACCAGAGCAGCATCTCGTATAATAGTTATTATAAGGCATCCCCACTTCAAACTAGTGTTCATTACATTTACTCCGTTCAATAATGATTAAAAATATTTTTCAAATAGATTAATAACTAATTACTCCAATTTTTGAATAAAAAATTATTTAAATTAATTTTTCAATAAGAACCTAAATATATACCTATTTATTTAAATACATTTTAAACACTTTTCAAATTATTTTAAATATTTGTTCATTTATAGCTTGCAGTGTATGAGAGTTTTTATCCTTCAAATATTTTTTCCTTATCATATATTTTTTTCAATTTTACAGAAACAGTTCACAGTAGATGTAGATCCCAATAACATTTTGAATATCATTATATATTATTAGTGTTTTTTTTAGTTTTTTGAATTTTGAATTATTAAATAAAAGTCACAAATTAAATATTGGAAACTTCTCCACGCATCGCAGACCTTGCTCATAGCCAGTCATTACAGCAAAATGGAAAATAATAAAATAAATTACATGGTATGAGGTAAAAATACGTTATTTGCTATTTAATATATATATATTATTTTAATTAAATTATGAAAGGGTTAACTATTAATCTGAGTATGTTATTACCACTATTGTTATCATTACAAACAAATCCTATTAGGTTCAAAACGCAGTTAATTTATTAAAATATTTAGATTATACTGGCAAACGCTATTCATGAATTCCCTTATTAAAGGTAACTTATTACAGTTAATTATTTATATAGCAATATTTTTTATAAAATTATAATTTTTATAATTTTGAATAATTGTACTACACATTATTTATATATATATTTATTTATTTAAAAATAAATACTATTATTATTTTTTGTAACATGTTAAGTTTCAATTTAATAAAATTCAACGTGCTGAATCTTTTGATGTAGTCAATTACGTATAATATGATATGGCTATGTTACATGTAAATCCGTTTTTAACCGTATCAGTTTTTTTTTAGATAAGCGGCGAGTTCCTGGTGAATTTTATGTGTTCTTGATAGTTTGTCCGAAAAAGTATAATATTCTCGATCGTTAGATAGGTTTCTAGAAATTAGAATCATAATCAATGTAAATTATTATAATTTGTAACATACATAATAATTGAGTAATAAGTTACAGTAGATAGTTATGACTCCTTATATATACCTACTTATTGCATAACGCAACTCTTAACTAGCAACTGGATACAACAATATAGGTAGGTACCCATCTATAGTTATAAGTTAAAAGTTATTTAAGTTTATTATTTTATTCAGAGTAGGTGACTTGTTTCAAATTAGTTAGATAGGTATGTATAACCTAGATCCAAGATAATTTTTCAGTGACAAGTCATAAACAAAATATAATTATAAATAATTATACAAAACGGGCATCACTATATTATTAAATAAAATGTAATTTTTAATTTTCCGTAACAAAATCATTATTACTAAAACCAATATAATTAATTACAATTTCAAGATATACAAATAAGCGTCAATTAGGTAGCTATAGAATATTATAAATTATGATTGTAATCGAATGCGTCATAAAACTCAAATTGAACTGCCTGTTAGTTTGTAGTGTTGTACAAATAAAATGATCTAATGGCTATACAAGTAGCAGATGATTGTTATAAAATCCATTTAGTCATTAAATAAATCGCCTAATTTAAATTGAGACAATGAAAGAATCAGACGCGTCAATGAACATACTTTTGAATTTTGCGACCCTTACCATTTTTTGGGTATAATTGCCTATTCAAACATGATAGACTTTTTAGAAATTAAATTTCAAAAAATAAAACATAAATGATTGGTTTTTTGGATAGTTAATCATCTTCACAAATAATAAGCATGACATTTTTATAAATTTGAGTTTGAATAATTCAGCGGGCATAAATTAGGTATATATATATACTAAAGTGCAGTGGTGTAGTTATGAGGAATATAGATCCCCAAATGATTTTTTATTTTTTAATGTTTAATACTTTAATGCATTGGTTCTCAAACTGGGGGAGGGGGCGTGTACACATTGCTAGGGAGCCGCAAGCAATTACTACGAAATACAATTTTTATTTTAAAACGTAGAGAAAAATTAATTGACCGGTTTCTTTTATCTGTTATCGGGTATCAATAACAAATAACCGATAAATTATCATCAACAAAAAAATATTCATTCTGAATATTGTATAGTTTATTTGTAAAATCATAGATAATAAAGATAGATTTTTTATTATCTATGTGTAAAATATACGAAAGAAAATGATCGATTTTTTCAATTTATAGTAGGGGGTGCGAGATTTTTGAAAATCTACAAAAGGGGACGTAGAATAGAAGAGGTTGAGAACCACTGTTTTAATGCATTAATTTATAGTAGATATAAGATTATTTGATTACAAAATTACTCATATTATGTTATTATCGCGGATATAATATGCAATTTTGGGCTATAAGGGTATGGTGTGGCATAGTGTTTTGGGCAGTGTTTAATAACCTTAGTTGCCAAAGCGCATTATTAAAAAAAAAAAATCGATAATTAATACAGTATAGATTAATAATAGACTTGTTAGGGGATGTGGGTTATTTATCCAATAAATTATTTACCTATCCTCCCCCCACCAGGAAAAAATCATAATTACGCCACTGCTAGGGTGATCTTCGTCTAGTCTATAAGATATCTTTAATATTTTTATCAAATATTTATATTTTAGATACATTCAAAGAAATTAATACGGCATCAAGAAATGAGTCTATCATGGTAGATGAAGAGTTTGACAAGCCTGGTCCATCAACAAAGTGCTTTAAACAACTAAAAATAACAGTCTATTGATAAAAGTTTATCTGAAATCACAATTAAAAAAAAAAAAAAAAAAAGTGTAATCATATTCTGTGATTTCTTTCATTAAAGGAAATTTTTTGATTCACTATGTACTAATAATAGACAATAATAGACAAAAAAGAAAAGCGAAAGCAGCTCATTAAGATTTATACGGAAAAAGATAAAACAAGATAGTCGATATGTTTTGAACCCAAAAAAGTGGACCGTGATTTTAAATAAGAGCCTCAAAGATTTAATTTGTTTAAGTTCATAGCAATTTTTTTAAACGTTTCAAAATAAATACCGACCTAAAGATAAAAAAAAATTGAATTAATGTCCAGTGAATAAATATGTATAATATAGTAATAGGTATACGGTAAGTACCTATATAATAAAATATCTACTATAGGTTATTGTACTGTAGGATATACTGTAGATGTACCTACGATTTTACATTTCTATCTATACGATCCTGTCGCAAATATACCTCATTTTTTTTCTTCAAAGATAACCAATATTTACATATTATATTCCTTTATAGACTTAAGTTACCAAAGGCCAAAAAGCCAAAGGACCAAGTACCTAATCATTATGTTACTACAGAGTGAGAATTTATAAAATTTATACGTTGTTTGTACTAAATACTATGTACTAAGTATATTAAACTTAGGTATTGTAAACATTTAACAGTAAACACATTTAAAAATTAAATATCCATTTTATAAAATATCCTTGTCAATAATTGCTATTTTTTTTTTCTTATCAGAATTTCCTACAATTCAACATTAATTAATTAGCAAGTATATAAATAATGAAAGTCGTAGGAATAGAAAATAAGTGTAGGTTCTACACTTCTATCCATCACACAGGTTTCAATTGAAACAAGTCTTCATAATATTATAATATTTCAGAAACATTAAATGATGACACAAATATCCTATTTAATTATACTTATTTTTACTGTATGACTAATAAATAATAATACATTTTCATCACTTCTTTTGAATTGAATTAATTGATTTAAACATCAACAAATTGTTTAGTGTTTACTATTTTAATTAATTAGCGCAGAACAGCTAATTTATTAAGATTTATGGCACAAGTTTGTACATTAAGACTGCATTTTCTATTATAATTTAAATTACAAGCGTATGCATTGCCCGAGTCATATAGTTAATTTTTTGTAGGAGCATACATTCCAACCAATTGTTTTATAATATCAACATTCTACAGCAGTTGGATAGCTATAAATGAAATTAATGACATCATATTTTAATTGAATAACATGCAAACATCCAAAATAAAAATTATGGGCATGTGAGCTTTTTCTACTATTATAATATTGTGTTATTAACTATTTAATGTAGAAGTGTAGTTATACATAACTCTAAAATAGCATTCAAATTTATTGGGTTTCTAATAGTTATATTATTACATAGTATGATATTACAATACTCATTTTTTTGTAAAAAAAAAAATAAAAACATTTTTAAGTATATGATAATATATAAATATAATAGGTATCATATTGTATAAATATTTACATCCTATATATCAAAATTGCATTTGAAAATAAACTTTCAACAATTAAAATAGTTTGAACCTTGACACTATTATGAAACATAAGAAAAATATTGATTGTGGCAAAATAATCAAAGATTTTATGATATATTTTTGATATCTGTTTATTGTTTATAAAAACAGATTAAAAATGCATTCATGTTTCAAAAATAAAATTCCACTTAAATTTATTAAATAATATAACTGTAACAAACCATCTAAAATTAATAATAAAAAATAAAAAAACATTTTAAAATAAATATTATTAATTTTATTCAGTTTTATTGGATAAATTTTTTTTTAATTGTCTGTATGCTAACACAGCCGAATCTCTTTCTTTTTCTATTATCCTCCGATCAGATAAAGACAATGCTTTGCGTTTGCCAGTAAACGCTTTACGTTGAATAGCACTTTTACTAGGTTTTTTCAAAATAACATCACTTATTTTCTTTGCTTTAAAAGAATTGCCAGTATCTGCTAACATGGACTTCAAAAACAAGTCATCTTTTCGACCAGGCTAGAAACAAATATTAATAATAATCAGTAAGGAAGTCATATGATAAAACATGAATAACAAAATTATGATTTTATACTTACTCTATTTTCAAAATCATTAATAACTGCTTTTCTAGGTTTTACAGTCAAAGTTGGAGGACAATGTACAGTTTCTCCAAATTCAATATTGTCTTTTACATATTCAGTTGCATGTTCTACTTTATTTTGTGTTTCTTCATCAAGTTTTTGTTTTTTTTTCTCTTTTTTTTTCTCTCTTTTTAGTTTAGTTTTTAATTGTCTTTTTCGTTTAGCTTGTACTAATTTTTCTTTTGCAGTCAAAACAGCTTTAGCTTCGGTAACAACAACTCCGCTTTCCCGAATAATATGTGTTTGTTCAGGTTTTTCTTCTAGTTCAAATGCACATTTTTGATTATTTTTTGTTAATCTATTTCCTATATCAATGTATGGTTGACTATTATTTTTAAAACTACGTTTAGCTAATTTTTTTAGTTGCATAAATTCACGTAAACTCCGAGGCACATCTTGACGTTTAGGATCTTTGGGAGGCTCATTAGTTTTTCCTTTTAATCTGTATTTAATAAAAAATAATTAGTTTATACCAAATTATAATAATTATAAAAATCCATAAATACTATTTAATCAAAAATAAAGCTCAAGCAGAAGTGAAATAACTTTAAATTTAGTCCCTAACTCTTACATTCTGGTCAGATTTATACACATCACTGTGTAAGTTTAAGTATACTTGGTGATTAATTTTATAACCATAAATTATTCTCTAAATAAGTATTTAAGTTCTCATTGAGTATTTTAAAAGTAATTGAAAAAATTATTTTTGAAATCAATAATTAAAATTACTACTTGTGCTATAATATAACATGATACATATTAAGAAAATGACATCGAATGATTCAACGCTAATTGCTCAATTTTTGTAAGATCTATTAAGTAGTAAGCAGTGTATTTTGTATTTAAAATTAATGTGACAACTAATTGATAAATAATTTTGTAACGCATAGGTGATATTCATAAAATATGTTCAAAGTGCATGGCACCTCCAAAGAGACTTCATAATTTCAAGAGAGGGCCTCCAAGACTTCAACAATATTATATGAATACACATAAAATTTAACTTGCACTTAGGCCTGCAAATCTCAAGTTATGGTACTAATAGTACCTACTATTGTAAAGGTCAGTAAATACAAAATTTGTTAATTTAACATTTAATATTACTGTGAATAGATTCATTTAACATTTTTAAATAAGTTGCTGGAATATATTCAGAATTTTCACAATTAGGCGTTTACAATTTTTTTCATAGAGAATTTAAAGAAACAGGTATTTATATTATTATAGTTTTTGATTAAAAAGAAATTCGAATTAAATTGCTATGTACGACTTACTCTTCATTACGTTTTGAGATTTGTTCAAATACGTCTTTTACTCTTTTTTGTTTTTTACTTTTAAACTTGCGTGCCATTATACATTAGTATAAACAACAATTTAATTAAAATAAATAGTAAAACGAAAAATTAGAAAAATCAAAACAAAAGCACGTTGGTGCCGTGTGAGTTAACAATATATTATCACTTATCAGTGGAAAACAATAATAAAAAAAATACTCTGTGATAAAAGTCGTAGAATGGTTACGTATCATCTAGATCCCGCGACAAGTAGACCCCCGTACGTCAACTAGATGCCTTTAAACGTTTAGAACCTCAAAGAGATCTTAGATTTCATGCTAACTATAATCTCCTTGGTCATTTAGATACGCCGATATTAGCGGTAATTTTAAAAACTTGCCCACAAGAATACCTACCTACATAAATTTAATTTGAAATTTATAAAGAGAGTTTAAACACTACAAAATAAAATTTTTAAATTTAGAAAAATTATAAAACATAAGTAAATCCCATGGTTAGATAGTAAAATCTCTAATTTCATTAATTATTATATTTGATTAGATGTTTTAAAAAAGTAGTAACATTTCATCTTATATCCCTTGAATTATTTTTCATCAAATTTTATGATTAATAAATTGTAGGTTTCTAAGTCGTAAGTATAATGCAAATGTGAAATAAGAGAAAAAATAGCATGAAGAAATTATAATATTTGTATCATATTGTATTTATTAGTATTTTAATTTGTATTACACAGTTATGAAATATGTTATAATTTTTCCTCGGCATGAAGGTCATCTGTAATAGGGTGTATTCCTGTACAGTGACATCCTTGTATAAGTATCAAAAGTTTTAATTTCATCCTTGATGTTTGCCATGCATAAAATTTATCCGGATACAATTGGTTCAACTAAAAATTCAAAATATGTTAAATAATCAAATTATATAAGTGTTAATTAATGTATTGTGTATGCACACAGTGTTTGAATTGAAGAGCACAGAGTCGTCAGAATCACCATGCTTTTTAAAAAACATTCATATACACTCCTAATTATATCCTAATCAATAAGATATTTAAAATTTAAATATTCAAATATGCACATTTTTTTTTTACTCTTTTGCATCCCCTATCTAATTTTTTCCTAATTCAAACATTGCGTGCATGGTTTAATGGTTGTATTTTGTTAGTGTAATATTTATTTACAGGTTAAATTTTCAAAACTAATGTGAACAATTTGTTGTATTGCTGGTGGTGGTAAATCTTCTTAATCTTTATCATTCAATCCATGAATAAGATGCAAAACTAAAAATAAAACAATATTAGGACTATTAGGTAAAGTTGTATCAAATTAAGTATATTGAATTTTACTATTTATTTTATTATAAACAATAAGCTAGGTATTTCTGTAAAATAAATACTCAGTCATCAATTAGATTTTCAACCACAGATTGTATATCAGAAATTGGCTGGATAGTGGATGAAAAGTAGTGGTCTAACTATCCCAAAACTTGAAGTGACATATTTGGTACAAGCCAAAAATTTCATAACTGAATAATGCATTTTATTTAATAGCCCAGAAGCTAAATTAAGATTTCCTTGATAATTTATCCAGATTTGCCATTGTGATTCCCAGATCATCAATTGCCAAATTACAATTGGCCAATATACACTGATAGAGTGTGCAATTAATTTGTCTGTAAAATTTAAATATTTTATAAAACCTATAATAATAGATTGTATTATTTTAACAAAAATTTGTAGTTGATTTATAATTCTTTAAAACTATTAAAGAAAAAAATTTTAAATTTTTTTTACTAAAAACATTAGGTAAAATTAATAAGTATTTATTAGTAAAAAATAAAATAGCTTACTTATAAACACTTATGGTTCTTCTGGTTGATGCATATTATTCATGTGTATTGGGAGGTGTTGATGTCTAACTTCTATTTATATAATGTAAACTTTATACTATATTTAATATTTTTAAACACCACCAGTATTTGATCTTTCTATTTATATTATAAATAATTTTGAAAATTGTTTTATAACTTGAACAACGTTTGTAGTTATTATAAAAATTTAAAATTAACAAACAATGTTATAAGTTATAACTAAGCTCACATATGAATGCAATGGGATAAGTAATTGACTAATTGATAAAATTACTTATTACTGAACTACACAAAATTTTTATTTAAATAGGTACTTGAATCATACTGTTTTAAATGCCTTACAGCATACATGTTTAATGTATGATCTAAAATGGAGATTATAACTTAATTTAAATTTAAAGTCTGTGACAAAACCATAAATGTGTGATAAATTGTTAAAATAATAAAGGAGATTGGATTATTTCAAAAATAAAGACCTGGCATTTAAAAAGATTGAGTGATGATCTCAATGAATTTAACCATGAAGCATTAAAGCAGAAGAAACAAAGTCAGATTGAAGCTTAAGGCGATCATCAATTTTGCTTACATATATAAGTATATACATTATTACCTTTTATCGTCGTATTCATCATGGCTAAATTTAGCCATGGTATTCATTATAATATGTTTCATTATTTTGATTTAATGTATTTTTTATACTCTACAAAAAAAAAAAAATGTATAGATAAAAAATGCCACTGAGGTTTAAAATAATTTTAATATCATTATTGAATAACTTTTTCCCTGATAAGTGATTATTGCTGAATTATCCTTGTGACATTGTCGAGTTATTGAATATCATTTTTTTTTATACGTAGATAATGCCAATTCATGATTTAATTTTTTCGTTGTATGAATAATCTACATCGTTTATTACCAAAACGCCAATTTCTCATTTTCATAACAAAAAAATAACAGTCGGTAGTCAGTTAATTTAGTGAACATATGAACGTACACGGACCGAATCACGATGACACGTAAAAAAATATTTTATTAGCATTTATGTATTATGTGTTATTATAAGGTACCTTTAATGTCCAATAACAAATCATATTTCTCACCTTTTTGGAATGAATTAAATGCACTTGCAAGTATATAATATTTTTATATTGTGAATAATATATAATATATATTATTATTTTGTTATATTATTTAGAATATATTTAAATCTTTGAGCTCTAATTGATTTCTTATCACTCGTATAATAGTAATCGATCCATTCACGGCTAAAGTGTGGCCAATGTTCTTCAATTTGGTTTCGGAAATTTGTAATGTACCTACGCGCAGTTACATGTTACTATATTTTTCAATTCCTTTGCGGCTATGAAAGTCCGTAAAAGCGAAAGAAAAATTTAGCCATTACCAAAAGCTTGATTTTAATTTTGGAAATGTATTTTAATTCTTTAGTTACGTAGGAAATGGATTTTTTATTCTTTTGTATTTAAAAAATAGTACCAAATTAATTTTCTTTTTTTATTTTCAAAATTCACTTTTACTTTTGTGTTATTAAAAAAAAAATTCATTTCCAACAATACACAGACAAGGGGCAAACACGTTCAAATATTTTTTCAAAATTAAAATTGGACTTCTAGAAGTAAATTTTTTTTTCTTCCACTTATTGGTCTTGATGCGCAAAAAACGACCCACTTTCAAGTTTAAACAGCCTTTAATTGTTTAAGTTAATAGTCAATACACGCAGGTCTGACGTGTTCCTTAATACACCTACAGCAGCTACTGTTAAGCATTTACGTAGTAGTTTTATTGGTGGTCATGAATTTTTATAATAATATCATGCTTCTTACTTTCTTAGTTCGTATGAGTTATGAATTTTAGAACTTATGATGTTATGATAACGATAGTGCCTTAAAATTTTAATAAATAATATTATGATAGCAGATAATAGATAGATATGAGGACATAATAAAAGTTCTCGCCTCAATTAAATTATACCATTACATTATGATACATAGTGTATTGTATATACGATACGATTTGCAATAGTGCGTCAGGTTAGGTTGGGTATTTGCAAAATATGGAAAACCGAAAAACTATTATTTTTTTTATAATTATTCGTGTCTTGTGCACTGCGCAGAAATCTATCTAAAAGAACATGTGTTACCTTAACGTGATAATTGATCACTTATCATCGACCACAGTTACGATATTACCACGGAATTCTGTGTTAACACTATAATCATATCATACTCTATGGTAATAAACAATAATAATATCGATGTGTCTTTTATAATATCTCACTAATTAGTAATTGTTATTAAAGTAAAATTTCAATCACTCGGAACGTCAGAACCTCAGAACAGTCGGAACTGGGACACAGGCGTACGATCGTCACACGTTCGCACGCCACATGCCGTCCACGATCGTCTTGATATTTAATATATTTTTGTCCGTCATTGCTCTTTATTGAAGTTTGTTGCCTCTTATTCGTGTGCGGGCCTGTGCTCCGCTATGTTCTGACACCGAATAAAAGTTGAATTTTACTTCAAAAGTCTTAGGCCTACGAATATCGACCGATCATGTCCCGGGTCCGCTCGTCGATGGTGTTCGTTCTAGTTGTTGTTCTGACGCTTTTGGCGTCGTTCGTTCAAGTGTCAGCCAGGATACACACCTTGCAGATACACGTAAGTTACTTCGAGTTTCGAGTTTTGTGATATTAATAATCGCAATAACTGTCGGCATTCTTGTTGCTAATGTTGCCATTATTGCGTTCGATTAGGGTGACGATCGGCGGTTCATAGCGTTGTCCACTTTTGGATTTTTCCGTGGTGGACTGTTAGAAGTGGAAATAATAGACTTTTACCTGCCTCCCAACAGCCTACAAGAAACCGTGAGTAAAAAAATTCATATAATAATCGTAAAACTTACAATTTAGACCTATCACACCAGCTGTATTTACTAATTATAATGTTGTACAATGTTCTATTGTAATATCATAATCTGTGTATTTTGGTTTTAGCATGGCTTGCTGCTTGAAAAGTCTATATTTGATGAAGGAAATCCTTATCTTGATTCTCAACAAGAAATTTGTCCAATTGAATCATCTAATATATTTGAAATACGAAAGAATCTGGCAGTTTTTAGGTTTAATTTTCTAAAGAAACTGTAAGTTTTTCTTTTTGATTATTTTAACTTGAAAACATGTTATAGATAACCATATGTTTGAAAGTTATTCATTTTTAACTGAATTTAATATAAATATTTAGTATCCCATTATTAATAACAAAATATTTATGTCTAGTGTTACAGTTAATTGCTCTGATACCATGGAGCCATTTTATTTATTCCAAAATATGGATGACTTCAAAAACCACCAGAATGATATTGAAAATGATGGTATGTACTTAAAATAAAAATAATAATGTAATAATATATTAAATCCGGACTTTTTCAGTTATTATTACGAGTTGTGTCAACAAAACTTTACCAATTACAAATGGCACTCGTCCAGATAATTTTAATATAAAAGTAAGAATAAATAATCATGCAGTTAAAATTTTCGAATAATGTGTTATTTTATTTTTGATTAGTTTGTTGTATACATAAAAACAAAATCAAATGAAGGATTGTATAATTTATATTACCATAACTGTCCGAATTACGCTATGATGCCAAAGTCTAAACAAAGTTTTATGGTAATATACTAATATCATTAAATAAAATATAAAATGTAAATTGTTATTTACGGTTTTTTATAGGTTATTATTAATGAAAGTAATGCTAATGGGAATTATTTATCAGCTGGTGACATGCCATTGCCATCATTGTATTTTTCTATGTCAATTGTATATTTTGTCACTTGCGTATTGTGGATTTATTTCTTATACAGAAGCACGTAAGTCAAATGCATCTCTAATCAATTATAACAATACACTATATTGTAATTTAAAATTTTCTATTAATTGCAGTTATCCTGTCTATAAAATACACTATTTAATGGCTCTATTAGTGTTTTTAAAAGCAGCAACTTTATTTTTTCATGGTTTGAATTTCCATTTCATTCAAGTCAAAGGACAACATATTGCCACATGGGCTTTTGTTTACTATGCGATTCATTTGTATTTAGTTTTCACACATAATTAAGAGCTTATTTTGTTAATAATGTTTTTCTGTTCTAGATTAAAAGGATCAGTTTTATTCATAACAATTGTTCTCATTGGTACTGGTATGACATTTGTCAAACATGTTTTGTCAGATAAGGACAAAAACATCTTTATGATTGTTATACCCTTACAGGTTTGAAGTTTTTTTTTCATATAATTTAATACTTATATTTTAAATATATTAATGTCCAAAGGTATTAGCTAACATAGCCTATGCTATTATTCAAGAATCTGAAGAAGGAGATATGCAGCACAACGCTTGGTTGGATTTATTTTTACTTGTTGATTTCATGTGCTGCGCTGCTATTTTATTCCCTATTCTTTGGTAATGATATCACCATCAGTTATAGATGTATTCAATTTGTCACAATAAAATTTATTTTACTTTATAGGTCTATTCGGCATCTGCAAGAAGCATCACAGACTGATGGCAAAGCAGCAATAAATTTACGCAAACTTAAATTATTTCAACAATTTTATGTTATGTTAGTTTCTTATATTTATTTCACACGCATATTGATATATATGCTTAGAGTGAGTTTTATGTTAATTATTTTTTCTTTAAAAAAATATTTATGATATATTTCATGGAAAAAATAAGTTTCATAATATGAAAATTCAATATTTTACAGATGACAGTTCCATTTCATTTATTATGGCTTAATGAATTCTCTAGAGAAACTGCAACATTTATATTTTTTGTAATGACTGGATATAAATTTCGACCAACTATTGCAAATCCTTATTTCCAAGTGGCATCAGATGTTGACGATGATGACACAGACATTGTGTAAGCTCAAAATACAATTATCACTCCATTCCCCACACTACTGTAATAGGTACACCATAACATTGTTATTTGTTTTTCTGTTGTCACAGAATAAGCCATTTTGGATCTGGCGTAAACAACCGTTCAAGAAAGAAAGCAAACAACACTGGGGAAATTGCTGAGGACGAAATCATGTTAGTGGAGTCATCATCGTGATATAATAAATATTGTGTTTCTATTATACCAAGACTGATCCAATTGATCCATAAACCTTTACTTTGTCTTCTAGTCTTCTAAGAGTAGACAAAACTGTTCATTTGTACTAATTTGTACTCATTTATCGCACAGCGTTTTACTGTTTGTTTAATTATGTAATGAATATAAGTCAATCACTTTGTTACAATCTTGTTTATAGTATGAGGTTTGATTGAATTTTTTTGTAATTTATTAGATTTAAGTTCACGTTCCTTAGGCGTTGTTGCTGTATTATATATTTTATTATGAATATTAACATTGGTGAAATATCAACAATTAATGCAATAGTAAAAAAAAAATATAGGTACATTATTTTATTGTATAAAACAGAACTTTATGTTATATTATTATTAATATGGTGCTTAATCGAATTTAACTAAAACAATTAAATATCTGGTTTGATAAGATAAGAACACAAATATTAGATTTTACGAGTACACATTATTTAAAACCTTTCTATTTGATGTATTTATGCACAAATTGAAAATAATTTTAACTATGTACACGTTAAACTTTTTTGCTGGTAGTTTAATGAATTGAGAAAAGAAAAAAGAAATGAAGAGATGAAGCTAAAACTCCTACTTTGCTGTCTTAGTGGCTTATTTTATAAATGGTTGTTCTAATGATATATAAATAAAATTACTGGTTTACCGGATTTAAAAAGTTTTAATTGGTACTTTTATTTCAGATAAAAATGTAAATATAATGTTAATGTGTCGTTATCTAGTATTTACACAAACAAATGTGTCCAAGATCAAAATTTAGGACAGGTCTGGTCATAAGAATAATTTGTTTAATATAGTTAGTAGTTAAACATTTTTTTTTGAAGAGAATTTTTAACATATTTTTAAAATGTATTTTTTGTTAACAATAGTTTGTAATATCTAGTCATTTATATAAATTAATATTTAACTTTTTATAAACTATAATATGTATTTAAATAAATAAACATAATGGAAGTCTTCTATTTTTGATTCTGGTGAATTTATAAATAAGGTTCGTAGGAACTTGCAAATTATTTAATTAATTTTACTTTTATTTATAGATAGCTAATTGTGCACGGCACAAAATATGATCGACATACAGTCATACAGATAGGTAGGTACTGAGTACACCGATGTATTCACATTTCAAATTCAGCATTTAGTTTTGGTGTATTTAATACAAAAATAATTGTCTTTGACTTTAAAATACATATATTGGGTGCATATTATAAGGATTCAAAATTAGGGCAGTTCAAAGCCAAAAAAGGCTTAATTCAGCTTGCTAGAGTTTGTGATTCAGGTACCTACTATAAAAATGCATTATTATTATCTTGTGTAAATTTCATTGTTTTATTTATTAATATTTGATTTAAATCGTTCATAAACAGTATAAACAACAATGTGATAAATGACCACCTTGGAGCAAATCGGAAATTATAATTATTATACTGTCATTCAATTTTTTTGTGTAATCATAATTATAATTTTCGAAAATTTTACAATAAAAGGTCTCGAAAAACGATTTTTTTTTTTAAAACCACGTTTCATATAACATCTAAGTGAAGGAATAAGTTTTGAATTTCGAAATTTCGTATCCATCATCATTATGGATCATAGATAATATAATGCCAGAAAACTATGAGTACCTACCTACGTATAAAAAAAAATGAAAATGTATGCAATTTTTTTTTATTTTATGACCCACGTTCACCTGATGATATATTTTTATTAAAAAACTTAGTATTTTCACTTTTTTTTTGGTAAAAGGATGTTGAAAAAGACGTTAGATTTAGGTTAGAATGTTTGGTACACTGTCACTCTACATGTATTATGTAATTATAATTATGATTTAACCCTTGGACAGTGTATATAATATTTTCACAAATGTTGAATATTTTTCAATTTAAAATATGATATTTTGAATAATTTAAATGCCCACTGTTTCGTAAAAGCAAAGAAAAACATTATTACGCACTTGTTTCATGTGGAATTTAAGTAGGTACTTAGGTAAAGCAGACCTAGTTATCAAGTTATTTTTCTTTACGTGTTTGGACATGCTCAGGAATTTAAAAAATGTGTTGACAGATTGTGAGCTTTAATAATGAGAAATAAATTACACCGTCAATATTATATCATCGCAAGATTTATTTTTTAATGTTCATATTTACAAAAGTTTAACATCGATTTTTTTTTTGTACAAAAACATGGTAAACAAATTACAAAAAACTATATCTTACTTTAAATTTTAAAATATTAGCTATTTATTTTTTGTTGTTATTATTTAACTGTATACCTATCCATTCGTAAAAGTAGAGTAAAAAAAATTATACAATAATTTCATTGGAAAACGATAAAAAAAAAGTTATATAAAAATAAGAAAAGTTATTGAAAACAGTCTTTGCATTTAAGTAAATGGCAGGAATAAATATTTTTTATTTATCAATGATAACATGAAATTACATCTTAATTATTATAATATATTATATATAGTACAAAATACACATCATTCTATAGCTGAAAACCGCTGACTCCAATAAGCCACGACCAGGTACATAGGAAAGGTTGTGTACCGATTTGTGGTTTACGAAAGTCGAACGACTCAGTAAATACTATACAGTCATTCTGATATTTTTTTTTTTTTTACACGATTTAATTATTTACAGTAATATTATATAATATATCTAATACGTAAGTAGTTATACGATTCGTCACAATACGTAAAGTTAGTGTTTGTTTAAATTAATAATAATTTATACACAATATAAACCCATATACGTATAAAGAGGCATAGGTACAATAAAATATTAGGTATACCTACGCGTAGAAAACATAGTGAGCAAATTACAATGACGATTGCACGCGATTAAAATTTGATTTTTCGTTTTTAAGTATGGCAACGCTTACGTTCGACTTATTATTATACTATACGCTTAAATCGGCTCGATTTGAACATTTTCACTAAAAAAAAATGAACACTATCCGTTATAATATATATATCCGGTAGGTATACATAAAAAATTTATAATTATCACAATTTCGTTATAAAACTATATCTACCTTTGATTATGTCGCCGTTTCGAGAATATAATATAATATAATATAATATAATATAATATAATATATTGTATACACGTAAAATAATTAGTCTAATTGCTATAAATTAATCTATTTTATTACATGGTAAAACATGGTAAAACGAGGGGCAAAACGCGACAACCGCCGAAAGGGTGCGCGCGGCGACCACGACGCCGTTCGAAACGGGTCGCGGAGTGCAAGTGCGATTTGACTATAAATTATTGTGTGGCGCGCACAGGCGCACAGCACCCTTTGGACGGCCGTGGCCGTTTGGACAGCGGATTTCGGCCACCGCGCGCGGCCGTCACCATCACAGCCTGAGTTCGGCCTCCGCCGCCTGGTGGTGCCTCTGCCGGGCCGACGTGGAGGCGGCCGAGTGTAGCGGCGATATGGACGGCGACCGGTTGGCCAGCGGCGACAGGGACGGCGAGAAGGACGGCGACATGGCCACCGACTGGCTGAATCCCGGGCTGGTCTCGTGACTGATCGGCGACCGGGGCACTAGCAGCATGGGCGGCGGCACGGCCTGGTGGTGATGGTTGTGGTGGTGGTGATGGTGGTGGTGCTGCTGCGAAACGCCCGACTGCCGCGACGAGGACAGGGCCCTGGGCGCCATGTTGGTCAACAGTGGCGGGGGCGGGGGCGGCGCGCTCTTTTGCTGCTGCTGTTGATTAGGAACGTTGGACTTCTTGCCGGAAGCGCTTTTGACGCCGCCGCCCGCGCCGCTACCTCCGCTCGTGGACGCGGCGCCGCTGTTGGAGCTCTTCACCGAGTTGGCGTCGTCCTTTAGCCGGGCGATCTCGTTGAACACGTGCGCCAGTGGCTGGTATTGCGGGCCCCAGTCCAACAGGTAGTCCCAGTTGTAACTGCCGGTCAGCTCCTCTTCGCTGTGCACGATCGAGCTGAGCGACCCGACCATGGACGGCTGAGGGGGCGGGACCTTTGAGCCCGAGTAAACGGTGCTGTTCGACGACTTCCCGCCGCCCCCACCGCCGCCGTCTTCTTCGCCGCAGCCGGACCCGCCGACCGTGCCGGTTCCGGTGCCGCCGCCGCCGCGTTCGCTGCCCACGTCGCTGAGTTTGGCGTATATCATGTTGGTTATGTCACCGTCGGTGGCCTCGTCCTCATCGTACATGTCGATGTTCTCCATCGGCCTGCGGTGCCGTCTGGACGACGATAGCCGTCGGTTTTCCTCGGGCAGGTGTGGCGGTACCTGTTGCACCACCGTTTGCGCGTCCACAATGCCCAGCCGAGCCAGGTACTCTTGCGTGTTGCGTGCCGCAGTCACCTCGGACAGCTCGTCCGCGTTTTGCCGCTCGTTGATCATTCTGATTTCCTCGTCTTCCACGTCGTCTTCGGCCGACCCCCGGCCGCTGGAACCCGATTTCTCCGAACCCGACAGGTCTGACGTGGTGGCCGCCCCGGAATTGGTGGTGCTGCTGTTGTTTCGGTACGTCGGTATTTCGTCGTACTTGGGCGGCGCGAACTGGCCGACCACCTGCGGGCCACCCACGCCCCTTATTGGTATGGTGTCAAAAGCGCCGGGGTCCACGTACGTGTTGTCGGTTCGCTGGTGTCCGCTCAGCTCGGGTTTGTTGATGTTTCGGTGCTGCTTGTTCTTGAGATGAAAGTAGAACATGATGCCTCCAAGCAGCAGGACTACCAGTAAAATTACCGACAGGATGCCGATAATCCAGTCTACTAAGCTTCCACCGGAAGCGCCCGCCACGTTTTGGCCGTTGCCGCCGCCACCTATGCCGTTGCCAGACGAACTACTGCTAGCAAGGTTCAGGCCGGGTTGTGACATAGGGTCGAACGATATCTCGACCACGCTGACGTTAGTCAGCGAACCTTGTTTGCCCGAACTGGCTGTCACCACGAGGCTTATGTCCTGCGTCGCGTCAAAGTTTCCATCGATCTTCTTCTTCACGATTATTGCCCCTGTCGTCCGATTTACTTTGAAGTACGCGTTTTGTGTGGTCAAATGGTATACAACCCGTCCCTCCGGTCCTTTGTCTCTGTCTGTGGCCGACACGTGTCCGATTACGTAGCCCACGGGCAAGTCAACTGTGTTTACCATAAACTTGAAAGTCCGCTCGATAAATTGCGGCGCGAACTCGTCCTTACCTTCGATCTCGATTTTCACACGGACCTTGGCGTTTTTGTCACCAGCATCGCTGGCGATTATCGTAAAAGTGTACTTGCTCCTTACTTCGTAATCGAACACAGCGTTGGTTGTAACTAGGCCCGACGACGCGTCTATCTTGAACATTTTCCACGAATCGTCAGCACCCGAATAACTGGCCGACGACGCGATTGAATAATTGAGTTGTCCATAATAACCGCGGTCTGCGTCCGTTGCCTTAGCTGTGAACACCAGCGCGCCGATTGGCTCGTTTTCGCCCACAAATTCTAAGTATTCCGAGACGGGGAATCGTGGAGTATTGTCGTTAATGTCTTCCAACTGTATTTTGAGCAATTTCACTGTGGCTAGTTGCTGATCCGGCGATTTTGCATTGTCTTGAGCTTTGATTATTAGATTGTGTTCGGAAACATCCAAGTCACAATCTAACACCGACTTGACATATACGTCACCGGTGTTTCGGTCGATATCGAAGTAATTTTTGCTGTTACCCGAAGTTATCTCATATGAAATTTCCGAGTTCGGTGGCATGTCCAAATCGTTGGCGACCATTCGGACGATCGAGTGTCCGATGGGTGTGTTTTCTGGCAAAGACAAAAGACTTTGTTGTTCGTTCACCACGAACTGAGGTGCATTGTCGTTGGCGTCGTCCACAATTACGTGGACAAATACGTATGAACTGTTCACGCTGTCTGTGATCTTGAGTGAATATATATCGCGTGTTTCTCGGTCCAGATGCTTTTTTACGAAAAGTTCACCGGTTGGACTTATGAGATCAAAATTTTTCTCATCGTCACCTTCGACGATTTTAAACTGTGCTGAGCTATCTGCTGTATAACTAGGCAACAATTTCAAAAACGATTCTCCCAAAACAATGTCCTCCCGAACCGATACTCTAAAGGATTAAAAAAATACACAAGAAATTAGTAAAATGCATAGATATTATTTTCGTTATGACGGGATCTTGTGAATTGTGGATATATGTTTACCTGAATTCGTTTTGTGTAAATTTCACCGTGTTTGAATGTGCCGTATTTTGTATATTAGCGCGAACCGCGATAATAGTTGAAAGTGGAGGAGTTCCTAGGTCGGTAGCGGATATCAACAAATCAACAAATCCCTAAAAAAAAAAAATCACAATAGAATGGTTATATTTAGTATAAACTAATTTCAATAGACAATCAATTTCTTGAGATTAATTAATTAATCATTACCTTTTGCAGTAATTTTTGATCAAACTTTAGTCGGTTCGCAGTAATGACACCGGTTTGCTGGTCGATCCTGAATCCATTTACGTCGTTCACAAGTCCGTATTTAATCTGTCCGTTCAGTCCAGAATCCAAGTCCTTTGCCAGCACTTTCATTGATGATTCCCCGTAAACGTTTTCTATATACATCAACAATATTATACATGCGTTTAGATATTATATCATTATTATTAGTAGGTCAGGTGACCATGAATGTGATATTGTTATAAAACAAACCTGTCATCGTGAAAGTATAGTAAGGACGATCGAATACTGGAGAGTTGTCGTTGTCATCAGTCACCATAACGGTTAGCTCTGTGGAGGCCGTGTGTTCCGAATCGGAGACAATTACACCCAACCGATACATCCGTGTTTGTTCGTAGTCTAGACTTCCAATCAACGACACTCGTCCGCTATACCTGTCCAGTGCGAAAAGTTTCCGTTCCAACAGTCCCACAGAGGGCGTCCAAGAATAGGTCAGCGTGGGATACGTATCCACGTCGTTAGCAACCACTGTTGTTATCATACTTCCTACTTCTAGACCTATAAAACGTCAAAAAAAAATATTATGTTAAGATTATTTAACTAAAAAAAATCTGAATAAATGATAAAAACAACCAAAATATAAAAAGGAAAAAAAAACGATAAATAATATTTTAGTCTTTATGAGGTACCTAGTACCTATATATAGTAAATATAATGTATAGCTAATAATAAATTTTGCACATACCTTCTTTGACATTAATGGCGCTACGCGGTGGAAATGATGGCCGATTGTCATTGATGTCGATAACTATGATTCGGATGGTGGCCATACCGGTCATCTGAGGTGTACCCTCGTCGGTAGCAATGACGGTTAGCTTGTAGGTGTCCCTGATCTCGCTGTCTAGCACAATGTTGGTCTTGACTATGCCGGAGTCGGTTGGATCGATGACGAAAGCATTGTCGTGGTTACCGTCAACCAGATGATACGACAGCCTCGAGTTCTCGTTGTCGTCCAAGTCGATCGCAGCAACTTTGACGACGAACGCGCCTTTAGAGTTGCCCTCGGCCACCGTTGCTGTGTACTCCTTTTGCGTAAACACCGGGCTGTTGTCGTTTTGGTCGGAAAGGTGTATCCAGACGTCGGCGTATCCCCACATGAATACAGACGCAGGAGCGTCAGTTTGTGCGATGGCCACCAAGTGTATACCAGTTTTGTACGTTTCGTAGTCCAAACCTTCCGATCGGCCGACCCGTATCACGCCCGTTTCTTCGTCGATGTAGAACAACCCGTTCTCGTTATTGACTGGAGCTAATTTATAGAAAACTTTTTGTTTCCGACCGTCACTTCGATAAGCCGAAATCTATTAACACACGAGAAAAACACAAATATTATTTTACTTGTTTTTCATCATGGAACTATACATGCCACAAGATTATTCGCTATATAAACATGCTCAATCTCATTTTTTATTTAATGATAAATTTATTAAGATCCTGATTTTTGGAATTTTAAAATATATACAAAAAACATGTTTTGAAATTAATAAAAAGAGCACGTTTGATGAATCACCTGTTTTTAATATTATTATACGTGTATATTATAGAATGAAATTATATATTTACCTCGAGCACGTCTTTGTGTTGTTCTAAATTTTCCGGTATTGTTACGTGGTATGTAGAGTTTTTGAACCGCATGACAGGGATCCGATCAAAGTTTTCACCAATCCTTATCTCTAATAGTCCTGATGAGCTTTGTGGTGGGTTTCCTTTGTCGGTGGCTATTACTTCCAAGTGGAATACTTGACCATTGTCCGACGCTAGACTCGACGATGCCGTCACTACACCAGTATTGGGATTAATTCGGAATCGATCGGCGGCTTCTTGATTTTCTTTGAATGAATACAAAACATCGGCATTGGAACCTTCGTCCTTGTCGACGGTCGACACCTTAACAATGTCCATTCCGGGTTGTACATGTGGCGGAATTTCCGCTGTGAACGGATATTTCGTGAACACTGGTATGTTGTCGTTAACGTCCAGTACTTTAATATGTACTAGCGTTGTGGACGACCTTGGATTGTATTTTCCACCGTCCCTAGCTACGACTTGTAGCCAATAATTCGGTTGCCGTTCACGGTCGAGACTTCTATAAAAACAAAATATGAAAAAAAAAAATTAGAAAAGAAATCATAGATAGATGGCTTATAGTGTTTTAATATTGAATGAAGCTGCCAAACTTACTCTACGGTGGTGATGACTCCGGTCTTGTTGTCGATCTGGAAAACGTTTTCCGTTTGATTGGACAGCGAATATGTTATCTTGGCGTTCACGCCTATGTCCGCATCGTGCGCTTTAGTGACCAATACTTTAGTGCCAGCTGGCACGTCTTCCAATAAGACAGCTTCGTACTTGTTCTGTTCAAAGTTCGGGTCATTGTCGTTCTCGTCATCAACGATCACTGTCAAATTACAATGGCCGTCCATCGTACTACCGCGGTTCTGTGCAGCTATCTGCAGCTGATATTTGGCCTGTACTTCCCGATCCAGCGTTTTGGCTGTCAATTCACCAGTCTTTGGGTCCAGATGAAACTTGTTGCCGCCATTTCCGCCTATGATGCTGTACACTATCTGACCGTTGGATCCCCAGTCGGGATCCATGGCAGCCACTGTGCGAATCACGGACGGTTCTTGGTTTTCGGGCACCATTAGTGTGTGACACGAGTCGTGTTTGAATCTAGGACTGTGGTCGTTTACGTCCAATATGCCCACTTCAAGTGTCACTACATCCGTGCTTGATTTCACTTCATCCGTCGCGTAGACTGGCAACACATACCGAGAGGTCCGCTCGCGGTCTATTCGATTTTGCAATGTCACTATTCCTCGGTCTTTATCCACGCGAAAACAGTTGTCGGCCACACCTTCGGGTATACTATAAGAAATTCCTGAAATACAGAAAACCAATGATTAAAACGATTTCAACTAGTGGTCAGTTGTTAAGAATATATCATGCCACCATATATGCGAACAATGACTATAGGCAAATGAGTATATTTAGGGTAACTATAATTCATATTTTTGAGATTAATATACCCTTGTTCCAACAAACATTAAATGGGGTACTTTTTCCCCGTTTTAATCATCTCCATATTATTTTATCGTGTATTCGTGTAGGTTATGTATTAGGTATAATGTGCGAAAAAGAAAAACCCCGTATACGAAACAAATTCATAACAAAACAATAATTGTGATTATTACAGTATTGTATGATTGAATTACTTAACCATTATCTACTAAAAGCTAAAAACAACAGTTCTTGGAGTTATACTATTATTGAGTATCTATCGACTAACATTGGCGTATTACACAGTGTAATTATGAACTCGCACAATCATTTCTAAAAAATCTCATGCAATTATTAACTAAAAATATGTTAAAAAATTAATGAAGGTATTTTTTTTTTATAAAGTTAAGCCAAAATTCTTTGTTCAGTTTTTTTTTTTATACAAATATATTATATTAATGTAAAACAACCTTTGCATTGCGTTTATCTCTATTTATGTTGAATAATTTTCTTTTAGAACATATCTAATACCTATCTATACACATGCTACTAATGCATACCATTATATAGTATATGTTAAAGACGTGAGGAGACATGATAGTGATGTGGTTTTGTAGACAACGTGGTTTATATAATATAATATAGCAACTTATAATAATTACTAGTTTGGGTTGGTTTTTTTTTTTTTCATTTAATAACGCTAACCTTGTAATACAATTTTGAATATTACTTGAGCACAGATAACTGTAGGTTATAATAATGTTGTAGCAATCAACGTTTCGATTTTCAATCGATAGGATACTATAATTATTTTACTCTTTATTCATTATTGCAAATTTAACGACTTTTAATATCGAGTCGCGCGCTCGAGATACGAAATCCAATCATCTCGCGCCTCACGTCCCATACATGCTAAACAGTTTCGACGTACATTATATTATAAAGCAGTACCATTAAATTCCAATCGTGTAAAAATATTTATAAATCTAATGCTCATAAACGTTAAAACTAAATGCAATATTATACTCGCCAATAGTATTAGAGAAATAATAATAATTGGTATGTTGGTATGTTTCGTGATGACTTCGTGAGGAAGATCACGGGGAACTTTCGTTAAACATGATTACGAAATTTTAAATGGCAGCCGATCGGCAGACAATGAGACAACTTGGAACACGGACAAATAGGACAAATAATTTGGTTTTATTAACTTTAGAGAATAAATCTATTTTCTACACATTTGAACGTAATAAAAAATAATACGTTATATACGTAAACGTTTGTCAAAATATTTTATGTTTTTTTTTTTTTTTTTGTTATTTACGACGAGGATAAAATATAATATTGTCGTTGGGGCCGATTCATTTTTTATTTTAACGTCTCCAATCACGAGGCTATACCGTTCAAGTGTGCCCATCTAAAATCGCGAAAAGTTTGACGAATACCATACACGACTATGACTTACGGTTGTCGTTTGAGTTGGCCGTGACTTTGGTGACGAAACTGCCGACGGACGCGTCCTCGGAAACGTTAGCGGCGTAGAGTTTCTGGGCGAACCTCACCGACTGTTCGGCGCTCGTGGTGAACTCCACCTCGAGCGCGGTGTGCGCGTACCTGGCCGGCGTGCCCCTGTCCGCGACCGTGACGTTGAGCGTGTGCTTCCTGCCGGTGTCCGGTGACCGGGCCAACACCAGCGCGCCGGTGTCGTAGCCGATGCCGAACGTCCCGTGGTCGTTTCCGCCGGTGATCGTGTACACGGCGCGGCCGTTGTCGCCGGCGTCCAGGTCGACGGCCACCACGTCGCAGAGCCAATCGCCCGGCCGGGCGGACCCGTCGGCGTACAGCCGCCGGAACGTCGGCGAGACGATCCTGGGCCCGTTGTCGTTGACGTCCTGCACCACCACCCTGGCCGTCACGTCGGCGTACAGCCGCTCGGTGACGTTGACCGCCTGGTCGGTGGCCCGACCACCATCACGTACTCGCGTGTCGTCTCGGTAGTCGAGCGGCTCGACCCAGCGTCAGCATGCCGGTCAGCGGGTCCAGCGAGAACGCCGCCTCGGGGCCGCGGTGCTGCTGCGTCGGGTGCCCGTGCTGCACGAACGTGTACCGCAGCTCGGCGTTGGCCTCCGCGTCCGCGTCCGCGGCCGTGAAGTTGTACACCACCGAGCCGACGGCCGCGTCTTCGGCCACCGTCACCACGACCGGGTCGTCCGGCCACCGGGGCGCGTTGTCGTTCACGTCCAACACCTCCACGCGCACCGACACCGAGCTGCTCTGCGGGTTCGTGCTGGCGCCGGTGTCCAGCGCGTGCACCTCCAACTCGTACGTCGCCTTCGTCTCCCGGTCCACCCGGCCGGCTACGATCAGCGCTCCCGTGCTCCGGTCCAAGTCGAACACTTGCTGGCTCACGTCCGAATGCCGGAGCGTGTACTTGACTTGGCCGCGGCCCGCTGACGCGGCGCCCGCGCCCTCCGAACACGCTATGCGGCCCGCTATGCTACCCACGGCCGCGTCTTCCTTTACCTGCGAAGAGAACGAACATTTGTTAAGAACCGGGTACAGCGAGTGTCACGTGTAAGCTACGATTAAACGTCACACATAGCCGCATTGACGCCGACGTCAGTTATTCAAATAGTATAGTCGTATAAAAATGAAACCTGTTGGTACTATCACTTTAAAAAAAAAATTATTACCCTCTAATATAATAATATAAAAAGTGACTTACAATATAATATTTAATTCCCAAGTCATAATAATATACCAGTCAAATAATTTTTACCTAATGTTGTGGCGAAGTTGGAACATAATTTTATTTTAAAATGCTTTTGACATGACAAACACAAAACAATCGACTTTTAATTATACCTGCGATTATGAAACAGTCCGAATTTGTCTCGTTAAAATATGGGACACATTTGTCTACTGTGTTTACACATATTCAATTATAGGTATCTAAAACTTGTAAATTTTACTGACTGTTTTTGGGCTACGCAAATCACTTGTATTTACTGCTATAGTATTGATTGATTTGGTTCTAATAAACGTCCGACTACGTTATTCATCACGAGTTGACATACGTTCAGACGGTTTTTACGAAAATTCGTCCGTACATACATTATGGGTTGTTTTCGACGTTAACCGTTGTAATAACTGTACGGCGTATGTGAAAAAGGCGAGTTTAGGTCGAGGAATTCCATATTAGTATTCGTGTCGGTTTGGAGTAAATTTCGTTTGGGAACAATCACCGGACGGATCAGCTCCGTCCGGTTATCGAGTGGTTTCACAACGGCGTGCGCGAGAGAAAATCGGTTGCCCATTTTTATTCTTTTCCCCTACTCGCGTTCACGTAGAATCTCATTTCGTAAAACTCGACCAACGCGCGCCTCTTAATTAAACCGATCCAAATCGAAAACGTATAAATCTTTACGGTCCGCGTGGTATTTAAAACTATAAATGCAAATCTCGTTAGTTCGTGACTAATTCAGTATCTGATTCGGATCGTCGGAATGGTATAAGGAGAGGAAGAAAAAAAAGTTGTTCACGAAAAGTACACGTCGTCGGACGAAGAGCGTTCAGGAAATCGCCGGGACACACAAAGAGACGTTCATTAGGGCCAAAAAGACAGACCACGACGACAGGAATCGGTCGGTCGGTCGGTACAATAATAATAATAATATGTAAAACACAAGAAGTTCGATTTCGTTATTGTTTTGTTTTATTTTTATGCAAGTAATTTTTTTTTTTTTTTTTGCTCCGTAACAATGCCTTATCGTGAGCACTGGATCTCGTCATTTGTGTATGTGTGTATGCGTACAGAAAGATAGAATGGAATAAATAAATGAAAAAAAAAAGAAAAAAGTCGAACAATAAATATAAGTAAAGAGAAGTCACAGTGAACAAACGCGGCGCAAATACGCACCATCGTCGTTGTCGTATCGTCTGAAACCTGGTTTCAATTGAATATAGGCGAATTGTTTTTATCTCGTATATTTTATTTATATTCTTTATTTCGGTCGCAATCGTACTTCTTGGTTGCTGCAGCACCACACACACACACACACACACATACGACGATAACACAGAAAACCAGTTTCGATTTTTCAAGCGCATTGCAACAACGCAGCGGCGACGAATTCGAGTTTTATTATTATTTATTTATTTTTACCACTTGATTTGTTTATTCATTATTATTATTTTTTTGTCATTATAAACAATAACCACGTGAAAATGAACAGGATAACAGGTAATGACTTTATCTTGATTTTTGGGTATTTTCGAAATGCAGTCGTGTCTCGTACATACAACGCTCGTCTATACGTGCACATACATATACAAATTAGCATTTGAGGACCTCCTTTCTCCGTTGATTTATGTGCTCCAATCTAATCCAATTTATTCTGGATTTAAGAAATGCGCGTTAGGGGAGGGACGCTCTACGATATCAATATATATATATATGTACGAACGAACGAAAGACATTCAAATTTATTGTCGAGCGAAAAAATTGGGCGACGAAAATGTATATACACGCGATGACGAGAGGAACTGGTTATATACGAATGATATTATGTTTTCCGATTTATATAAATGATTATCCAAAACTCGGTAGCATTGTGTGCGGTAGAAACTGTGTTTATAATTTAGATGCACCGCCGGACAACGCGTGCGTGCAAGGAATTAGCCACGAGGCGAATTCGAATTTGACCGCTGTATATAAAATACATTGACATTCAATATATGGACGAGTTGAACTTATAAATTATATCAACATACATGATATATATTATATTTTATTATAATGATATAAAATAAAACGATTCCATACCTGAAACACGAGACTGGAACTGGTGAACGTGGGTCGGTTGTCGTTCAAGTCGAGCACCTCGACCCTAAGCATGCGAATCGTTTGTTTGGGTGGATGTCCGTTATCCGTCGCCGCCACCGAAAGTCTGTACATTGATTTTTCTTCATGGTCCAGCGAAACTTTGGTTCTGATCACGCCCGTGATGCGGTCGATGAAAAACTCGCCGTTTCCATCGGAATCGCGCCCTATGAAACATACCGAGTACATTAATATTTAGTTATATTAAAGTATAATGTAAATACCTATAACAATTAATATTATTTTAATCCCTCAAAATTTAATTCTGTATTCAAAAACTTTAAAATAATATTCTAAACATTCTTATATTTGTTGAAAACTATAATGGTCAAAATAAACTTGTAGCATATATACGAACGGTTAATATAGATACTATAACCCACAAATCACTAATCACTAAAATAAATTGTATTTATTAATTATATTAGACTGTGGGTTTGATTCTTCAATATTCAAGCGCCTTTTAGCAGGTAATTTTTTTTTTCGGAGCTCCAAAACATATATAATATAAAAGTGTGTTTCAACTTCAAATGTATTATGATATAGAATACATACCTTTGAGTATGGAATATGTGAGCGTAGCGTTATTGCCTTGGTCAGGGTCGGTTGCCTTTACAGTGACCACCTCGACACCGGGCGGCTGCTGTTCGCGAACCGCTACTACGTCTTGTTGTGGGTCCACGATAACGGGCGCGTTGTCGTTGACATCCGTCACAGCTATCTTGACTTTTACGCGCTTGCTGCGACCTCTGACTCCGCCATCTTGATCCCTGGCCTCGACGATCACTTCATGCCAAACCCGAGATTCCCGATCCAATGGCTCTTTGGTACTTAGTTCGCCTGTGTTAGAACAAAAAAAAAAATAATACGTTATTATTAGGATTTGGAACTCATGGCACTAACATTCATGTTCAGAATATATTTATACTTGAACATGAAACTAAAATTACAAGGATTACGTTAATTTAGAATAATATGATAATTGTTTAAAGCATTTGAGTTATTGAAAATTATGCAAAGTCAAACTTTGTATTTGAATTCATCACTTCACAAGAGAAATGTATAATATCTTAATTAGAATATTCTACAACCGCCACTAAATTACATTGAAATGTGAGAAGTTCCGAACTCTAATTATTATTACTATATTGCTACGTGTATGCACTGCAATGTGTTTGCACAAACAAGAATTCTAATAAAGAGTAGAAAAAAATTAGTTTTATGATGTCTATCGGCCGTCGTCGTTGGGTTTGGTTGAGCACATACATGTAATATATGTAGTGTTTGCGTTTCTTTATCGCGCCTCACACGAGCATCGTATTATTATTATATAGTTTAGAAGGTTCCGTCTATTATTTATATACACTTTCTCGTTTCGACCGTCAGTGTTTTTTTTTTTTTACGACCGTCTGAGGTAAATATTGGGATTGTATCATAAACGCGAGAGCGGACGGGTTACCTATACGCACTATATACATATTAATATACGTCGTCGTAGACGCCCGAACAGGGGGCTGTAATGTTATTATAATAGTGTATACGGAGACGCAGCATAAGAGGGGAAAAAAGGTTGACGTTTTTAATAGCTGCGTTTTAGATGTATTTATTTTTTGTTGAATGCACGCACACCGCTTCTCGGGATTGTCAATATTTAGGCGGACCACACGGCGGCTTCTGATGCAGGTCCTTTGCGCAAACGATTATAATATATAATATACCAGCTAATGTGTGCAGTATATTTGTTGGTGTATATGCTCTCAGGATAGGTATTTTTTTTCTGTAAGAAAATTCCGCTATAGGGTGAGGCCACCTTTTCTTCATCAATCTCTTTCAAGATTGTAGAGCTAGTCGCGACTTGCGGCACTGTGTGATGGATCCGAGAATAAATCGCATCATGGTTCAAAATGTCTTAAAAACCGATAATATGTATAGCGTTTCCGGGCGTAAGAGTTGGTGTTACAAATATGCATGTATATACAGCACACACACACACACACACACACACACACACACACACACACACACACACATTATCTTTAATGATCGATGTAATCAGCGGAGGCGTTGGCCGTGTGTAATTTAGAAACTAAGGGCAAACGAAACGAATGGAATCCGGTGGAGAGAGACGGGATATAATATAATATAAGACAATCGTTTCGACGACGATTCTCCTACACGCGTAGGCAGCCTGTTTAATTAACGCTCGCGGTGCACAGGCAATATTGGCGGCCCGACGACGGACGGATATTAATAATGAATGACAATCTCGGACTATGAATTAATATATCGTTTGGCTATTGCTTATAACGTATATATATATATATATATATATATATATATGATATAATATAAACCATTCTAAAAAATTAACTATATACTGTAATTATAAACTTTATAATAATAGACGAAATAAAATATAGAGTGTCGTAGTAATTAAAGAATAGGTTATACATTTTGGATATTTTCTATATCATTTAAGTTTAACCATAATATAATTTTGTATAAATCTTATGAGATGTTAATTAGAAAGAAGATGTTGTTAAGAAATAATGATAATGTTTAAAATATATTATTTATTTTTATTTTTAAATATTCTAAATTTCAGTTTTAGTGGTTAGTGCTTTTTACTTCGTAATAATATCATAATACCATATTTAAAAAGCTTCGTTAAAATTTGTTAATAAATAATTTATGTCATGTAGCTTATAATTTTCATCACAGCCGAGTAGTTAAAATATTATTATTGTGTACAGGTTCCTATTATTGTTATTATATAGCTATACGCAATCAATTGCTATTATTGCGATAGAGTTAACAGTTTCTAAGTATAATATGCACCCATACTATATACGTTATTTTATTTATCTTCCGCTATAGTACCGATAACGCACACGACGTTAAAACGTATAATTACCAGTGGTTTTTTCTTTTATTGTATTAGGTACTCTCTGCGAACCTTATTGTTGTCGTTATACTGCTGCTGCAGTTGTAGGTACTCTCACGAGCAACAATAAACTCTGAGACGATAAAATGAATAAAACAATGGGAATTTCATGTGATAAAAGAAAAATTAGAGACATAAATTTCGAATGCACAATAATTTATTATATTGTATTATGAAAACGTATTTACGCTCGTTTTGCCTGGTTAAATTGCACTGACACCGACGCTATTATAATATTATTAGTTATTAGTCGGTTACTATTATTATTTATTATTATATCTATGATGGTAGTTGTAGCAGAGAAACGGTTGCATTGATCCACATTTAATAGTCACGTCAGTAGGTTAGGTAAAATATGTATGATATGTAAACAAATATTAATAAATGAAACGGGTTTGAAGAAAAATTTCAATAAATTTATTTGATTTACACACTAATAATTATATTTTCAAATAATTGATCTCTTTTAAAAAAAAAAAAAAGAACAGTCTAATATTATTTTTTATTTATTTAATATAATAGCAATATTATTATAAGTACTATTGATTCATCAAAATATGTTAGATATAATAATTTCTAATTTATGATACACTAAAATAATAATAGCTTGTCATCGACTAACATGATTTATAGCACACGAATTTTAGAACATTAATATAATATTATTTTTACACAAAATTCAGAGAATTTGTTTTTTATCTTATTGTACGCGATTATATAACTGTGTTATTTAATGCTATGTTTTTTATGCATATATAAAAACAAGGCCTAAAGAGTTGGCTATTTTTCTTGCGCTCATATACCCACACTATAAAGCTGTCAATATATTATAAGCAAGATGATCATTAAATTCGACTAATACAGTATGCATATTGCATACCTAAGCAAAAGACTTAAAAATAGCTTAAAAAAAAGGTCAAATAGAAAGTTCAATTATTTCGTATAACAGTTGATAAAAACATTAATTACAACCCTATAGATATAACTATAGTTTATAATAGTGATCTAATATTTTTATACGAAACACGGAAGTAAATAAGATATTGGTTATGACCGTGTCCAGATTTGTTCACGTGCATTGCTGATAATATATAAATATATGAAATACTTAATATATCCGATGTGCATTTTTTAAGTCACAGAGGTGACTGACGGATCGTATACACAAAAGTCGGAATTATTATTATATATTTTCGTCCGTTCCGAGACGTGATTAATTATTCATATTGAAAATACCAATTTGTAGGCGGGCTGTTCGTTTTATATTTTTACACACACAAACACTTATTTATATATTATATATACTCGGGTATAGCCAACGGCGAGTCGATGCGTATAATAATAAGGAGCCACCACTAAAGTAAGTGATCGAGCAGCAGCAGCAGCAACAGCAGCAGCTAAATACGGCTAGGTGGTATAGGTTTATTTTAGGTATATGAAGTCTACCTATATGCAGGCCTCAGGGTGTATCCGACCTCAAGGCCTCTTCGATTGTTTTTTTTTTTTATCCATCAACCGATACACAACGCGCGCGTTACACGCCGGTACTTTGGGTAGGTAGGAGACTTATATGCACGAGTTTATATATATACATCATCTGGTATTATCATAACCGCGTTCGGCAGCTTGCAGCAGCTATATAGGTATTGTATGTATAAAAAAAAAAACCACTACCAATACACCGTCATCGACGGCGACGAAGACTACTACGATGACGATCACTTGGACGGAGACGCACGCAAACCAGACACGCACAAAACCAAAATATATACACACACACACACACACACTAATATGTACCTATATATATATATATATAATATCTTGTACCTGAACGAGTACAATATATAATATTATATACGAATGGTCCCGAACCGACCCGTAATTTGGCGGCAGCCACAACCGCACCGTAGTTCTCTTATAAATATATATATCTATCTATTTCGACCCAAATTGTCTACATAACTACCATAATTTACAAGGAAATTGCTTTTGCACCACCGCCGCCGCAGCTATCGATTTATAAATTATATGTAATATGTTCTTCTTTTATTATTATTATTATTATACGAATATTTTCGATACACCAGACTGCTGTAATTAGTATTTTGTATTTATAAAGTATATTTACTATCTACCCCTTGTGTATTATAAAATAACGTGGGTGAACCGAATTTTTATTATATTTTTTTTAAACTACCAGCTGCAAATGAAAAATAACATTAACTGAAGTTTTTGTTATTATTGACAAATATTTCTCTAGCTCACTTATTTATAAATATATCTTTTAATCGGTTTGTTTTGCACGCACATTCTATAGATGGTGGCTGCGATATTATTAGTTATTACAGAGTTCGAGTGTGTTGTGCTGTCAAAAGAATGCGCACTGCGTAAGTAGTCTTCGATGCGACCTCCTAACATATAGAATACGTATTGTAATAATAAAAACTTAAGTGGTTATGAGTACATATCTACACAAGTACTCCTATTTAGTTTGTTTATTCTCGTGCTACGTGCGTCAGTCAAAATCGTATACAATATACGATGATACACATAATAAAAGCTTGGCCCCCAAATGCGACTAGTCATCGAACGGTAGGGGAAACGGATCTTTTGAGCGTGTTCGCTGCTTCTCGGAATACACACTATTCACGCTATAATATAATATTTATTAATTACTACCACGATATATCATTATATTTTACTAGATACTAACAATACCTATACCTACGAATAGAAATTATAAACGTATTTTAATAATTAATATATATATTATATTATGCTGTACAGGTATTATACGATATCGTGATACATAATGTGTGCGCGCCTCTTATGTGATGTTTGTTATGTAAGTACCTGGTACTTAAGTATAAATGGGAACGAAAAGATACAAAAATATAATATAGTCTGTCGTGTCGCGCGTCGAGAGCAAAGACCTCGCGTCGGCAACACCGTTGAATTAATTAAACGCGCGTACCAATGTATAATACATATAAGCGTGTGCGACGTTAAACAAAAGGCGCGAACCACGTAAGGTGTACGAGGGAGGTATTGTGAAAATAATTTGGAAAATGCCACCGTGCTTGATGCTCATTAGTCGTAGGCACGTATATAAAATAGCGCATCGGTGTCACACGTATTACTCTGACGTTTATGTTATATGTTGTTAAACGTGCGTGTACTCAGTACAATATAAATATACATCATATAGGTACCCATAAGTGATATACGACTGTCGTAAAGCAAAAACGGTTCCCCATCAATTATTCAAAAAATGTTTCCATTGATGTCATTCAATCCACGGGAATAGATAATATTATAATACATGTATAATAAAAGCGTGCGCGTATGTCTGTTAAAGTCTCTCAGTGAATTTGTCGAATCTCCCAAAAGGAGAAAACTCTGTACTTCGTTTGATCCAATCTTATATATTTCCCTTTGATTTGTAAATTGCACTTTTAAACAATAAAAACATATTAAAGCTATCGAATTAGTGCGAAATTGTTTTCTGAGATTTTAATATAAAGTGGCCCGACTAAAATGACAGGCATTTTTATCTCTGAACTAATCTCTCTTTTATTAATTTAAAATAAACACTCTTAACCCTATTAATTTTACGTAATATGACATACAGTATATGTTCGCGTATTTAAATCATAATAAAAAAAATCCTGAATTCTTTTGTATTAATAAAAATAAGCATGTTAGTGCGTACTCTGTGTACAGTATGGAATGTGTTGTCACCACTTACCGGAGTACAGGTTGATGTTGAAACTCGAGTTGGACGGTATGAGCGAGTACCGGACGAGCGCGTTATCGCCGGCATCGCGATCTGTGGCCGACACAGCGCCGAAGACAGTGCCCGCCGGCCGGTTCTCCTCCACGTGAAATTCGTAGTACTCCTTGTCGAATTCGGGATCGTTGTCGTTAACATCGGCTACGGTTACCACCACGACCACGGTGGCCGCCAATGGTGCTGGTGACCCGTTGTCCGTGGCCACCACTGTCAACTCGTAAGTATCCTGCGTTTCCCTGTCCAGCGAGCACTTAACGTACACCCATCCGGTAGTGGGGTGCACGTCCAGCGATCCACCACTGTCGCCGCTGGACACACGGTACGTGACCCGAGCGTTGTTACCACTGTCGCCATCCAACGCGGTCACTTGCACGATCTGTGAGGTATAAATAAAAGGTGGGTGTTATTATAAAAAAATTTTTCACTCAAGTAACATAATAAGTCATGTACAGCGGCGGTCAGGGAATGTCACTCAAAGCGATTATCGCATCGTTAATTTTAAGGATTTGGTTTGTGCCCTGAAAACATTGACTATTTGTAAGCAAACAATGGACTCGATGTATCAATCATTAATCAGTGATAATTCTAAACCGAACGTGTCTTCGTACTAAAACGGTTTGGCCGAATTCAAATAAGCGAGTCCTTCTGCAGCGAAAAACGAGCGACGACATACTTATACCGGTGTACGTCATTTGTATAATGTCGACCCTAGCCGGATATAAAAAGTGTCACTAAACATTTCCGCGTATAAAATCGAACCGTCGAATAATCACAAACATGATGTGGTTTTATGTGCGTTTTTAAATAATTATTTTTTGTTCAAAAATCAATCGGGTAATATTGTTTTCCGTTAATTTCGCGCACTTCAAAACACCAATTTGGATTTCCCGGGAGAGCGAGGGGTGGTTCAGACACCACGGACGCGTATCTAAAAGCACAAGGTACGTGTATATTATATCACTGTCTGGGGGAGGAGGATACAGTTTTATATTCATGCGGTTAAACGGTATGTCGTTGACAATACATCGTATAATGATAGTGGACGCCGCATACCGCGGGCGATTTAATGTAGAACACGTTTATAAATATAATAATAATAATAATAATGATGACGATAATCGTACGCGCGGAATACGCGACGTAGCGCGCGTTTAAGTGGATTAATCGAGTCCGAGATTAACGTCAGCCGGGCCCACTAATTTATTGGCGTCCGCGCGACCAGATTATACTGTCCGCGCGCTCGCGGGTCACCGCGTACACCGACGGCCGGGGCACGCCGCGCAGTATTAACACGTAGGCATATTTAATGATATCACGTCCAAGATGAACGCGATACGCATCTAAATCCGACGCGTTATTGTCGTCGTCGTCGTCGTCGCCGTCGCCGTCGTAGTCGTCGGGGATTGCCCCGCCGCCAGCTCGCAGAAGAACTCGCGCATGATGATAATAATAATAATAGTAATAAAAATATTAATAATGGTACAGCTGCAAAGTCGTAGGTACCGTAAATTATAAATATTATCACAACGTTGTATAGGATTACACGCCGCAGCGTCGTACACATAGTTATGGCCTGCGTCCCACGCCCGGTCCGGATCTCCCGTGCACGACGCGCCGCACCGGTGCGGGCATCGGTAGTGGTAGGTGGTTACCCGTAACGCGGTTATCGAAACACGACCGGTGGAAAAATAAAATCAGACGCGTAGAGAGAACGTTGCGCGCGCGGTATATATCGCGAGCGCGGTGACGACGACCACCGCCTGCGCGGCATTCCCGGGCGTGAACTATACGCTCGACCCCGGCTAGACCGTCGGCGGGACGTTGGGTGGACGGACGGGTGGGCGCGCACGGGGGGGGGACACGGACGCGTCAGATCGTATTATATTATTAGGTGGTGTACGTACGCCGCGCGCGGCCGTCCATCAATCACCGACGCGATTCGGCCCCGGTGACGACGAGTAATTATCGGGACGCGCGCAGTTCTGCCAACACAATGACGCATTGTTCGCGCCTCGTTGGGGGCCTCGCACGACACCCCCCCGTGCGACGATGTTAATAATATAATATATTATATGTACCCGCGTGCACTGTAATATAATGTGCCGGGTCCCCGGGGAAAATCGATAGGCTGCAGCGCCAATGTCGATGCGTATAATAATATTATTATTATATTATGATAAAAAGACGTACATATTATTATTATTATTATTATTATTTCGTTTTGTCTTTGTACACCCCGCTCCGCCCATTCAAGTCTTTGGCGGTTGACGATCTCTCGTTATAATATATATGTAGATACCTATATTATTATTATATTATAATGTTATCGTATCTCTTCTATTATATTGTGGTCTCTCCGCGGAGATATGGGTGCTGTAGTGCTGTACTATACGCGGGTTGGCGTGGACCCCATCACGGGGCGTTTCGTCCCGAACGAAAAAAAAATGATGTAATAAATAATAATCATTATTATATTATACCCCTTCCAGCGCGTGATCTGTACTATAACAAATAGGTACGTACGTATATCGCGTGTATTAGATTATCAGTCATTAAATTATTATTATTATTACGAAGAAAGGTATTATATTATTATACACGAGCATTGTTGTCCTGCGTTATTATAATATTATTAAAGGTGTATAGGTACCGCGCATTAACTAGCCGTCGTCGTTTATTGTTTAATTGGTTCGCTCCACGGAATACTTTTGCTAGTCGCGCCGACCTGTTATGGAAAGTGTTGTTGCTCGCCCACCACTATCGTCCAACATACCCCATTGTGGAATTCCCCACAGTTAAATCGATGTATTATTGGCTGATATAAATATGTTAAAATTCAGTAAATTGTAAAATATTTATTTTTTTATTTAAATAACAATTACAACCGCAAAAATGCGTCTTTCTGGCGGTGTATGCAATATATATAAATAAGCCCGTGATGAACGATGTGGAGTACGTATTATTATTATTATTACTATTATTATCGGAATGCGAGGACAATACCGTCATGTGGTTCCGTTATAATATGCCGACGCGAAATCATGACTATGACCCTCTCGCAAGTCAATGGTCATTGCGCGCGCGCGCTAGGTACCCGCGTTGTACCGTTATTAATTAACGAGAGTGTCGTGACGACGAACGACGTGAGAACGTCGTAACGTTTTCGGCGGGCTCATTACAAGTATACGTAAGTATACAATTTACGATTGGATTTTACCTTTTGGGGAGAATTGAGGACATAAAACACGCACTGAATTATATGTTGCAAAGCTGTAATATTGTGCATTTTAAAGATTGCCAAATAGCTAATCTGTTTACACACAACTAGAACTAAAAAGTAAATAGCTCCAAAATACGCTAAGAACGCACACTTTTACATTAACTGTTAAACGAGAAAAACACTTTAAGGTAAATTGAGTAAGGAATATGTATTAAAGTAAAATACAAATCTTATTATTATTAATAGGTACATATTTTTTATAATATAGGTTAGATTGCGATTTTAAAATGCTTTTTTGGAAGAAATAAATGTAGGAATAATATTGATAGGGTGGCAAACGCTAAATTCTTAAGGTGAAAAAATGTTAGGTTAGATTAAGGGAGAAGGTGCAAAATATAGTTTAAAAAAAACATCAAGTATAATAACTTATAGCAGCTAGTAATTGTGCAAGTCAGACGTATAATGTGTATAGGTACCATTGGGAGTGGTTTAGGTAAGAGTATAGGTACAATGGGTTTATATAATGTATTCGGTTTGCAATGGCACATAATTGAAATACTATCATCAAAATAAATATCCTTACCTGTGAGTTGACCGGCAATGATTCCAAAATAGTGGCCGCGTAATGTGGCCGTTCGAATACGGGTGGGTTGTCGTTGATATCCTGGACATCCACTACCAGTGTCATGTTGTCAGACAGGGACGGCACCCCCGAATCTCTAGCGATGACGGTAACCGTTAGTCTATGAACTGTTTCATAATCCAGCCCGTGAATCAAGCTGATCGTACCGCGGTTGTGGTCCACCTGGAAATACGATGGTTCCTGCGTGGAGGCAATTAGCTCGTAATGTACCAATCCATTGGTACCGGAATCTGGGTCGGTTGCATGGGCCGTGTATATCGGCGATCCTGTTGCTACGTTTTCTGGTATGGCAATTCTCACCGAACTCGAATCGAAATGTGGCGAATTGTCATTTATGTCTTCGATTATTATATTTACCTAAAATTGATCATGTATATTTAGATACATAGCAAAGGCGAATGTTAAAAATATTTTGAAAAATGTATCGGAAATATGTTACCCTAACACGTAACAGCATATTATATGATTAAATAATAAAATAATATGATTTTTTTTTTTTTATATAATTGAATAACTTTTATTTTAAAGCTATTTATAATCGCATCCCAAGAGCAGACGTTTTGAAACAACTGTCATAAATATAACGCAGTTTCAGTAGGCACTGTGATGAATGTACAGTCGTTTGAAATTGCAATCGTTAAAATAATATATAACACACACCGTCACGGTATATTATTATATTATAGGTATGAATATTCGTCCTAGTCTATGGAAAATATTGACAGTTTAACGATCTTCATATATATAGATACATATACACTCGTTTATCCGCGGAAAATTCTACAGGAATTTCTATATAATATTATATGTACCTAAATATAATATTCATCCGTTGATATATTTTATTATCGGTAAAAACAACAAACTAAGTATAATGCGTTTAAAAGAACCGTCGCGCCGGGCCTAAGTGGGATTTGTTTTATTACACACACACAAGTTCCCGTTCAGTGTTGAGCGCGTTCGGGTTGTAAAGGTTTTGCGCACGTAGACCATTAAGTCAACATAAACTCATAAACGCCTTATCCCCCCCTCCAATGGGTGCACCTGCAGCAGAACACTGGTGCAATTAAACAGTTTTACAACTGATCGTGGTTTCTCTAAGTAAACCGATCGTATATGCATTGATCTCGCTATAGAGCAAGAGTACCTATATGTTTATGTGTACGGAGAGAAAAATAACATTTAAAAAAAAAAACCAAACGTTTATATTGTATGTAATATGTCAATATCATGGCGCATATATGGACACATCAGTGTTGTAGGAATGCGCACATAAAAGGTTATTAAATATAATATTGTTATTATGTGTATACACTCACTTGAGTGTGCGCTCCGTAATATTTGTTCGTCGCCGAGTAGGCTTTGACGTTGAGTAGAACCGATTCGAATGATTCGTGATCTAACACGGCTGTAGTTTTGATTGTTCCTTTTATCGGGTCTATAGCGAAATATCCGTTTGCTTCGTCCGAATGTATGGCATACCTTAGAGATTCTGAATCGTCTAAACCTGTAAAACAGATCTCATTTAATAATTCTTCTAGTTTAAATGTAGAATGTTAAATATGCATAAAATAAATAAATATAATATTTATATATATAAATTAAAGACAAAAAATAAACAATTAGACTAAAAATTATATGTTTAAATTATTAACCTATACTTATTGTCTTTAAAAAAAAAAAAAAATTCTCTAATACGTATTTAGTTTGAAATAATAACAATATTTACAGTTTATACCTATAACCATACATTTCTAAAAAAACAAAAAAAATAATCAGTCTTTTATAAAATAATTGTTTTCCACAATTTCAGAGTATAACTGTAAAAGATATTTGATATTAAACTTAAACACGAGTGGAACTATTTTTTTTTTCCATAATTTATATTATGGTTGAAATGATTTAAATCGAGAAACTATTATCATCGTAACACGCACGTGAACTCAATTTAAGTGTTTTTACTCGTATATAGGTGACAATAGTGACAAATCAGCAGCCATCGTTGTTTTCAACAATGAGAGCTATCGTGCGTGCGTTTAAATATTCATAATATATGATAAGTATGTATAACTTTGAGAGTACATAACACTACGATTGCGTTAAATACGCTTGTCGACGGTATTGTAGATATATGTATAAATATAATGATGATAATAATATAATACAACAATGACGATGGAGCGGCGTGCACACAAAAAATATTGACCAGTAGCAGTTGTGTGAGCGGCAAAGATATTACATAATTTCTACGGACCGGTTTGTTCAAAAATTAAAAAAAAAACACTCTTCGTGTTTGACCAAAGATCTTATTGATTGAGAATAGTTTTGATTGAAAAAAACACAAATCATTAATCAGAAATGATCAGATATTCTTGAGACGAGCATATTACTTCAGTTGTGTACTCGTAATTACAAATGTATAATATTATAGAGCAGGGCTGTAGTAAATGTTATCTCCGTCCGCGAACGCGTCAACGCGCAAACTTCCGCTCGCGGCTGTTATTTGTGATACGGATATCAATCAATATACATATTATATAATGATACGATATTGGAGGGCAGCTAGTTAGTATTCGGGTAGTGATATTTCGCGGGGAGGGTCGCGGTGCAACTCAGAGAGATTACCATTTAATTAAAATCCAGAAACACCGGTTGACCGGACACTCGGAAAATTAGATGCTGGTAAAGTGGGGGGATAAGATTATATACATCACACACATAATATATATATAATATGCACATCCGTAGGACGATGAGAGATTTTAATAGAATCGAGTGTGTTTTGGCCGATACAAAGGTATACTATGTATATATACACGAAAACCATGAACGATTTACATAAATCTCGTCCCGCGCGACGATTTCTTGTTGTTTTTATTTTACCATCTCGAACGGTCGTCGTCATCGCCCGGCGAGGCAGCGGTTTACGGATATCTAAGGAGTCCACGTACCGAAATATGACATATTCGGTTTTTGGTTGTTTTTCTCATCTATTGTTGACTCGTCGTAAATTCGTCGTCTTTGGTCGAAAAAACGCCACGTTCCGGTTTATTTAATTTGAATAAAATTTTAATAACGACGAGAAATTCGTTCGGACCGGCGGCGGCGGTGATAAATAACTACTGCGGGACCGGGGCGAGATAAGTAAACGGACATAAATTGTGGTCGTTATATACGTACGCACGCGTTTACACACGCACGCACACAAACACACCACGAAGCTTGTAAGTATTATTTATTCTTGTATAGGTAGAATTTAACATAATATATATATATTTATTCTTTATACATTGTATATACATATTGCGCGGGTCGATTCTTAAATGTATGTAAGTTGTCATCGTCGAAAGGAGTTTTCCTTATTGGCTATCGCCTATCACCCGATGTAGGATGTCGATGTTGTTCGATAATAGTAGAGGGACATTATTATGTATATACATACGAACACATAGAAGTAGTTTTTAAAACCAACGATTATATGTTACAGTGTAACTGTTTACACTATTTTGAAGTTTTATACGTAGGTATATGATCTGATGCGAGGATCGTATTATGTGAATGTTATCGCATGTACTGAAAAGAATACTAAATACACGGCCATTTTAATTTTTAAATTAAATCTCCGATCTATAGTCTTAATAAGAGGTCAGCGCTGCAGTAGACACGGGAAAAGGGGACTTTTTTGTATACCGTACTGTGGGTAATAATAAACTCAGGCGTGCGTGAGAATAAGCACGTATATAACTTTATTATACCGATCGATCGACCTAGTCGATTAGGCACGTCATACACACATATATAGTTATATATACACATGCGAACCAGTTAGTTAGTAAATTTCAATCTGCTTCGGAGTAGCAGACAACGACACGTGTCGTATTGCGACGATCATCGGGTGGTATCATTATAATGAGCTGGCCGTTCGTGCAAACGATCGTGGTGGCCGCCGAATTTCCAAACAGTTTCACAGATAAAGGTATACCTAAATAATAATACTTACTACTTAGCAGTAATATATGCCTAGCACGACTCGGCGAGGTAGACTGCACGGTTAGAAAGAAGTCACCGAGTGCACAGTTGAGACGATACATATATTGTATAATATATGCGCGCGCGGGATATTATGTATATGTCTCGTAACTTACCCCCCCCGGAACGGATCGTGATCGGATGCGAAATGAAGACGTATTATTGTGAGGTATATATACACTTCACGACTCGATTTATTCCTATATGTGTACCATGCTACATTCCGATTTCTTTTATTTCTTTTTTTTTTTTTTTTTACATGTATTCGACCTTTGTATCGTGCGGATTGGTCTCGGAGTGTGCGTGAAGTAGCTGCCGTTTTAGCGATCCTCTGCACCACACCTGAACTATACAGATACTATACACTATTACGACTTGTACAATGACGTTTCCGCACGAAAGATTCCTCTTCTCTTTGTACTTACATACGTGGGAATACATACGTTTGAGCGACACGAATAACTTACCCCCGACTAGTTGCCCCCCCCCCCCAATTACCGACCGGAATTTTGAAATTATCAGAGGGTAGTTGCACATACCTGACTGATTGGGCGACACTGCCACGTTTCCGACGGCAGTGCCCACGGGTGCGTCCTCTGGCACTGTAAACGAGTATTGAGATTTGACGAACACAGCGTATGGTTTGGCCAGGTCTGCGGCCAACACAGTAATTCGGACTTGGGCCACTTGTGCGGCCTCGTAACCGCTACCATCCCTAGCGGCCACCATCAGTCTGTAAACTCCTGACCGCAGTTGTGCTGCCCATATCTCACCGCTATTACTGTCCAGCCGGAACAATGTCTCTGTATCCTCACTGTCAGGTCCTGTGAACAAACGCATAACCATATTATTTTAAATATTAGAGCTGTTAATTCAATATGCTAAAAAACATGTTAAATATTAGGTGTATGCACTTTAAAATTCTGGAAATACGTAAAATTGTTTTCTTTTTTTTAACTACGATATACAGTAGATACATATATGCGAATTATATTGGTAGGGTATTTTTTTTATATAATAAATTATTGTATTACAAGTGATGAAGGAAGAGTTAAAACAACATTAAAATCGTTGTATTACCTATGCAATATTTTATTAGAAATTTGATTAGATACCTTCCTAAAAAATAATCTTAAAATACAATTTAAATTGTTATTGAAAATAAATATTCATATAACAAAATAAATCGGAAGATTACAAAAAAAAAAGTTTAAAAAACTATAAATAAAAGAAAAATACTAAAAAATGTATCTTATATTATACAGTTATGAATAATAATAGGTATACGTATTATATTGTTGTAGAATGAAATATGTCGATCCAAATTAGTTATTTATATAGTAACTAAAAAAACACGAATGCATTAAATTCACTGTAACTTGGGTTAGGTTGCTATAAATGTAAAGGTACATTGGATTAAGTCGGCTATAATAATGGTTTAGGTCATTGTGTCATTGGATATAATTTGGTATATCTTATAATATTATATTATACAGTTGAATGCTATGACAGTAAAAAGGGTTAAAATAATGATTTCTAACGGTACGAATTTGATGATAAAAAAAGTGATTTGGTAACTCATTTGCTAAAATGTTTTTACGATATTTCGTTATAGATCTTCTCGATAAAATTCTAGTTATACCTATATGCCGTTATACTAGTTAGTTATATATTATCTGATTGTATAATTTATCAGCTACTGGACTATTAAAAAACTTCTAAGCGACTGGGCCGAAGACTGCCCGAGTTTATTGGAGAAATATTTCAACCATATGAATAATATAAAAATATATGAATTTATTTATTTGTCTCTTCGTGTATAAAAAACATATATGTTTAAAATATATTATAAATAAAATTTGCACGACATACCTATTTATGTAATATATTTTAGACAGGTATTTGTTTAGGTTTCGTTGAATTTCATGGATTTACAAACATGACAAAATATAAAGAATATGTTTGGCCATCGGATTAGTGTAAATATATAGTTGTAGTGGTATAATATATTTATACTATGTGTGTATGTATAAACAAATGTCTTTTGTGTGACTGTATCATGATGCACAGAATATTCATAACATAATAATAAAACAAAACAACCAAGAAAACCACAAAATTAAAAAAAAAATAATAATAAAATAAAAATTTGAATGAATCATGTATAGTCCGATTGTTCGGACGTAAAAGTTTTTATGTTGTGAATCCAACAATGTATTTACCATTGATAATTCATATGAACGTGCCTCATTTACAGCTAAAGTTTAAAACTATTGTGGTTTAGGTATAAATCTACGTTTTTTATAACGTCTATCTATAATTATTTCAAATTTTGAATTTATATATACAATATACGATACTCGTACCTACTATGTATGTGATTTGTACTATAAATTATCTTAGATATTTTGTATACGTATTATTCAGTATTACTGTACACAATAATTATATACCTGTATTTTCTATGATTCTAGGAAATTTAAACGCATTGTACGCAAATAAAATATGGTTATTAACCTCATATATATTATTATATTGTTGGATAAGCCCGCGGCAGATCGATGGTTTATTAGATGGACACAACTACAGAATGTCTACGTAACAAATACTGCACACGATGATCATATCATTATTATTACATTTTTATGACATATACCTTTAGCAGACATTATATAGTAGGAAACAACGCCAAATGATCCAGAATCCGCGTCTTTTGCTCGGACCGTGACGATGGGTCCTTGTTCAGTGGAGCTCCAAACGATGGACACATTGTATTCGGAGGGTGAAAATACGGGCCAGTTGTCGTTGACGTCTTGCACGTCCACCTTTACCACGGCACTCGTGCTTAATCCACCTGCAGAATAAAATCGGTCATTACAATTTATGTATAGGTTTAATATAATATGACCATTGACCATATATGTAAATCATAACTATCACATGGGTAAAAAACCGTCGCTATAGTGATGGTAGTCGGTAAAATACAGGCAGGTCCGTCAGCCCGGCACCCCGGATTAAAAACATTATTACAATTTATTATATACTAATACACTTTGAAAAATTAGTATCCGATTATTAGTAAATAGTTTGTATTACAAGTTCACGGGGTGCTGTACTGGCGAACATAGTTTTGGTATATATATTATAATATTATAATATATTATGACGTTACGTCCACGGCGACGAAAAGCGGCAATAAAATCCGACAATACTACAGAGGTGACGCGTGCGAGGGAGAGGTAGTAGCTGTTAGATGGATAGATAGTGGTGGAAAGAGAGATAAGTTATAGAAGTATAGGTATGTATATGTGTATGCGTGTGTGTGTGTGTGAGAGAGAGAGAGAGAGAGAAAGATAGATATGTGTTGAAAGACAAGGGATGAGCCACAACGACGCACAGCAGCAGGTGGCCGCTGATGCTGCAATAGTAGGTGAGGCTGAGATATATGCTATATGGTCGGATACATTTCAACGGATCACTTGAAGGTGCTCTGCAGCGCACTCGAAACCGTCCGATAAGCATCGGACGCGTCTGCGAGTCAACCGGTTTACGCGCGCGCAACTGCTCGAGTTGAATCTTTGATTTATCGACGGTAACTCACGCATAAAACGTCCACACGGTCATACATAAAAATGTGTACTATACGTCATAAAATTATTTCGGCGCATAATATACGCGTTTTTCCGAAAAAAAGAAAAATAAATGTGTCGAAATTTGAATCATGATAGAAAGTCCAAAATAAAATGGAAAAAAAAACAATGCCATTTAAATATACCGCGTTGCACAAAATTGCAGGTGGAAATCATATTGTGCCCTCATCAATTGTATAAGGCGAAATTCGAAAAACCTCAGTTCGTGTCAAACTATCATCACCTGATATTTAGCTATCTATTATGATATTGTACAAAGGTGCACCAACAGCAGTTATAGACTATTATGGCATAAATGGATAATATAATATCTACACTCATGTAGGCAGGTGGTTGTACAGGCCATTTATGTATCCTGAAAAGGCGTTTCTATAGTACTTTTATAGGCATATGCATATTATAATATCGTATAATTACACGCTTGTGCATGTACTATAATATAATGATTTTCCGAGAAATTATTACTTAAAATATTGTATACATATAATAATGCTGTAGTCTGTCACGAGTTGACGTCGATTGAATTTAATAACAATTACGTTTAAAACTGTTGTTAATTGTTTTTTTTTTTTTTATTCAACGCACTCACCCCTGTCAGTTGCTATCACCGGAAACTCGTACAATTTCCGGGTTTCGTAGTCCAATTGTTTGGTCAGACATATTTCACCGGTTGCCGATTTAATGAAAAATGGTCCACTGTTTTCGGATAGCGTGAAGTTCACCATAGAATTGATACCACAATCCGGATCTGACGCCGACACCTGAGGGACAAAAAAAAAAATACATTGTTCATTAGTAGGTACTGAAAATGGAACACATTATTAAATTAATATTGTATACGAGAAAATAATAAGCTTTAAGCCAGAATGTAAATGTAATGTACATAACGGCGTATCGGTACGCACCACCGAAGTGTGGTCGAAGAGAGTGCGTCACACGATTCGTATACGTATTTATAATAACTAACGCCACGGATGCAGCGTCGCGCGTAGGTATACGATGCGCCTTACAATATATATCGTTTATAATTGAATTCTACGTCGTTGTTTTAACGACCCATAAAATACATGTACGTCTACTTATTAAAATAATACGTATAAACAAGCATCCGTCGTTATTTTCGGCCAATCGAACTCGATGCGTGTCTTTATGCGCAATGAACGGTTATAGAAAAAAAAAAAAAACATTCCGAATACAATTTATACGATATATAGGCGGTGTATAAATTATTTAATAATGTATACTCGACGAAATCTTCGGAAACGTCGACGTTTTAGATAATACTAACGAGGGTTTAACCTTACATAATATTATATATTATTATGTATGTATTCCTAGTTTAAATTCGGGTATTCAGATACACAATGTACCGTGATCAACAAGCTGTTGCAGAAGTTTTAATTTGCGAACAAAACACAGCTGATGACTGATTTTATAATGCTTTTTACGCAATTACGATACTAAATTCTAAAATTTAAATGATTCCCAAGTTTGTTGCACACTCCAAAATATTTTTACTTGATCACTCTAAAATTTAATATTACAATATTCATTATAATATTATATTTAAATTATAATCCCACAAAAATTAACTAGTTAAAAATATTATGTTTTTCCTTATCCTATGGTCATTAATTATTAATATAAATTTTGTAATAATATTTTGATCTTATTCATGGGTTTTAGAAAAATTTTCAGGTGCAGCTAGTAGACCTGTGGATTATGTGCGTTTATGATAAAGTACACCTACTAAAGACGTCATTAAGAGTTATGATAGTGAAATAAGTTGGTTAAACATAAAGTGGAAACAGAATATTAAATATATATTATAATCGAAAACGGGTAAGTCATTTCATCGTTATTAATCGTAGATAATATAAGTACACCAAACTATAGAAAATGTTTTAAGTTTATTGTTACATTCCGCGTTTCGTAAATTTATGACGATAAAAAATGTGTTTTGAGCAAAATATCAAATGTGAATTACATATACCTATAATAATTTATTATACTTTATTATAGATACATTAACATTGAATCATATTCACACTATTTTGATTTAGCATGACATAAGAGTTAATGAATATTTTTTTTTTATACCACAAAAGACGTTTTCTTCTTTGTGAAATATTGTATACATATGTACAAGGCATGCAGTTTAATAAGTTGAGAACGTGTTTTAATATTAAAGGTGTAAGTAGAATGTACGTCTCCAGACTTTTGAACACTTGCATGCGGAGTTTTAGAGTGCCTGGGCACATCCTAATATATTGTAATTAGAGTCATTAAAGTTAAGCTCCTGAACTAGAGATCCTTATTTTACCTGTTATTACAAGATAATTTTTTTTTTAAACATGTTATTGTTACTATAATTATTATTTATAATAATATATTACATAAAAAATTAAATTATTAATACCTAAATATTCATTATGATTTACTTGATTTTTTAAGAGTTATTTAAATAAAGAAGGAGACCCAAAAATGGTGTAATAGGTACCACCTGAAATTCAAGTCTGCGCACGTCTATACCTAATATAATCGTACAACTATATATCTACAACAAATAATAATAATTTTGATCGTTTAATCTATGCATACTAATTCGAACGGCCGATTGCATAGCATATAGGTACATTGTATCTATATACACAGTCGACGACAAAAAAACAAACCGAAAATAATAATATATGATATAATAATATAATATATAATATACGGACGGCGGATATACACACACACACACACACACATACACACCATCGGTGAACGACCCGGCTATACGCGTCTCCAAGATCATAAATTGAATTCATCCACCGGCTAGAAAGAGAACAAGTGAGAGAGAGAGAGGCTGAGGGACGGAGAGATTGCAGATCGACCGAGGCGATAACTACGTATATCCATGTCGACGGGCGACGACGAGCAACGGGTGACCGAAACGGCATCTCCAATTGCAGCTGTCGCACGCGCGAGCGTCTCCTTATGGTCTCACGGCAGCAGCGTGCGTTCTGTGTGCCCGCAGGAGCGCATTCCGCGTCTTATGGAGTAGAAACGAGAGCGCTGTCGAGATCGGGCTAGTGCAGGCATAGAGAATACCGCGGTGGCCGGTATAGCGCGGTGTGGGCGCGCGCGTTTCTATTATTATATTATAAATTATAATAAATTAATATATACCTACATCGAAATCGACCGGAATAATGTAAACAAAAATGTCGGCATATTATACCACCGGTTTCCTGTTTTTGTAAAATATATAAGACACGCTAGCTGTTACATCTCATCGCGGCTTGTTTCGTATGGCGTTTACACGATATATTATACCGAATTATATCGTAGGTGACTGAGCCGTATTCGCGGCCTGCAAGCGCATAAAATGGTTTAGGAAAAAAAATCTTGAAAAATGTGGTTGAAAAAAATAAAAATAAAATACCGAACAGAGTAAATATCATTAGTTTTAGCACGCCATGTATCTATTATGCGAGTATATTATATCTATGTGTATACACTATACGCTTTAGAACAGTCGTCGATGAATAATAATTATCATAACTAGATCTATTATATAATGCCTATACTTATGCATAATATACAGCCTGCATCCGGGTGAACGCGCGCGCGTGTGTGTGTTGTGTTCCAAATTTATTCAATTCAGACACAAACACACACACAGTTTATTTATTTTTTTTGAATTGTTTCGCAAAACGCCGTGGCACTGATTTACCGATATATATATAGTTATGACGGAAGGCGTGCAGTGTTTTAAACGATCATATAATAAATACTTATACGCGATAATTGCGACCGCTCATAATTACACGGTCGTAAAACGGTAGCTTTAAGATTTTAAATGTTGTATAATTGCGAGTTTCGTTTTTTCGACAAAACACGAACGCGCGCTATAATATAGCCTCCGTTCATATTTATAATAATAATAATACATTATATTGGTATGTAGGTATAAGCTATAGGTATGTCGCGTGTCGCATACGATGGCCTCCATTATAGGCATTACAAACCGTTTAACATGATTAATTTTCTATTTAGTATAATACAATTGGCATTAAATGTGTTATACAGAGAGATTCACTAAGTACCTATGCTCACCCCCATTTTTTATTTAATAATAATTTATTCAAATTTCGATTTTCGGAATGTTTAGATATAGATATTTAAAGACCATATTATCAAATTTTTAAAAATTTTTTGTACAAGTGTCCAGTGAAAATTTTTGTTCTTTAAATTTAAAAACCCCAAAAATCATATTTTTAAGAATTGCATTATTGAAGAAGAAAATGGGATGAGCATTCATAGTGAATCACTCTGTATACAAAGTATATGTAAATATACACCTACACATCATTTATACATCATCATTTTAATATTATTCTTAAATTTATGTATGTAGGAATTTGGTGTGGATAAAATATATGACAGTTTCGTGTAGAAAACAAGATATAAAGCTCCGAATTAACGAAGAAATGGCCAAAATTAAATCATAATATACTGATTATTATATATTGCGTTACGGCGCGACATGTGTGCAGGCGCCCGCGACCAGATATATTAATACACTCGTGAGTGTCTTATAATATTATAGCTGGTCAGTTTCTTCTATAATTATGTGGTCATCGTTAGCGTCGTCGTCGTCTTCGGGTTTTGGCGGCGACTCAGAGCAATTTGTTACGTTTTGACAGCTGGCCCCGCCGCGCGCGCTGACAGAAAGACCCGCAAGTGTGAATTATTGGTTACATTTGTGTTCGCTTGCGTGTGTGTGAGCAGAGGGTGGACGGGGAAAAAAATGTAGAAAACAAGCATTACCGGATTCCGCGGAAAAATGTGTCCTACGCGCCAAAAAAAAAAAAAAAAAACATTACAAACACGTATACGTATTATACATTATATAATATACGCACTCGCTGCTGCAATGTACACAGCGCTTCTGTGCGCCCGGGAATCGAGGTGAACGACACGCTAGGATTTTTCGGGAAAAGGATAAAATATATAAATTATAAGTATATCGATCCAATTATTTTCGGCATTGTCGTAACTCCGGACTACACCCGGTTGGCCTGGTATTGCAGTGCATAATAATCATCGCATTGTTGTTTCATGCGAGCGTCGTCGTTATATATTATATTTTATATAATGTGTATAAGCCTGCCGCTATACTTGAACAAATTAATCCTATCCCCCAAAATGATATATCGGTATCGTGTATCGTCGAACCGGGTTTTTCATTTATTTGGATTATAATATGCAAACCACCAAGCGCAGATAGTAATCTCCTCCATATTATGTGTGCGTGTGCGACTGGTCGTCGTCGAGTTATTTCCTCCTCCCACCGCCTGTTTCAAAGTTCCAATTATTAGGTATATACGCTGCAGATGATATACACACAGAGATTCCAATCGATAAACATCGCAGACGACGTTTGAAAAACTCGATGTTTTTGTATATGTATAGGACCATATTATATTATATATAGCGTACGAATGTATAAAATACCCAATCGGATTTGTCTGGAGAACGTTTCGAGCTTTTGCCGCCACGATTGTGATATTGTCGCACAATCGCGAGCCTTTCGTTTTATACGTTGTCGTATTATTTGTACAATTGACTAGCCAAAAATAATGATATTTAGCCATATCAATGTGCGGAGCAGGTCATAGAGTGAGAAAAAAAAAGTTGATACTTTATTACCAGCCGGCCAATAAAAAAATACATTACAATTCCCTAATGTCCAAGAAAAATAGTTCCTAAA